AGCCCAGTTGGGTAAGAGCTTGCACGGGAGGACTCGGGGCGCAGAATACTAATCCCCGGGGCCCATACCATGCAGGGTTCCAATCCTGACGGGGCTGGCCTTTTTCACACCTTTTTATAGGTCCAATTGCATTTCAAATCACATTTACTTATAAAAAAAACTTGCATATTGAATTAAAAAAATTATTGTTGAATAAAATAATTAAATAACACATATTTTCGGGCACGATCTTCAAGGGCTCGTAATCATTTGCATATTTTATTATTAATATTTTATTATTTTAATTCAAGGAAGGCAGATAAGAATCAGCGGCAGAGAAGAAACCCGGCCCTGTCGCCTCCGCGCGTATTCAAATCCGTTTAACTCGCTTTGACAGAAAAATGAAATTTCACTTAAATTGTAAAATGCCATGATAGAAAAAGATAATAATTTTAACTGGGTTTGCTGCATAATTTAATCAATTCTATATTGTAAGTTGTTGGAATCATTTTGATTATTGTCAAAATGATTTTTTTCTAAATGATTATAATTTTCAAAACTAACATTTTAAAAGTATTATTTAATCAAAATTAATTAAAAATAAAAACCTCTTTTCGAAAGTTTCAAACCGAATTCAATTTACTCACAATTTTGACTCTATTAGTGTGTTTTCTGCAAAACCATTAATTAATATTTATGTAAAGCGGTTTGCTGGAATTAAATTTGAAATCCAACCGAATAAAAGAATTTTAAACTAGAGATTCCAACGATCAAGCATCAAAAAAATTAGAGCAAATTGTGAATGTTGCTCAAACAACAATGAAAGTAATATTAAATTTCATTGTTGTGATGCGTGACCTTGTTCGGCCTGGGCCTGTCACTTAATAAGCCAATTTTTTTCGGTACTTTGTTGGCGCGCCGGCCAGCCCAGTTGGGTAAGAGCTTGCACGGGAGGACTCGGGGCGCAGAATACTAATCCCCGGGGCCCATACCATGCAGGGTTCCAATCCTGACGGGGCTGGCCTTTTTCACACCTTTTTATAGGTCCAATTGCATTTCAAATCACATTTACTTATAAAAAAAACTTGCATATTGAATTAAAAAAATTATTGTTGAATAAAATAATTAAATAACACATATTTTCGGGCACGATCTTCAAGGGCTCGTAATCATTTGCATATTTTATTATTAATATTTTATTATTTTAATTCAAGGAAGGCAGATAAGAATCAGCGGCAGAGAAGAAACCCGGCCCTGTCGCCTCCGCGCGTATTCAAATCCGTTTAACTCGCTTTGACAGAAAAATGAAATTTCACTTAAATTGTAAAATGCCATGATAGAAAAAGATAATAATTTTAACTGGGTTTGCTGCATAATTTAATCAATTCTATATTGTAAGTTGTTGGAATCATTTTGATTATTGTCAAAATGATTTTTTTCTAAATGATTATAATTTTCAAAACTAACATTTTAAAAGTATTATTTAATCAAAATTAATTAAAAATAAAAACCTCTTTTCGAAAGTTTCAAACCGAATTCAATTTACTCACAATTTTGACTCTATTAGTGTGTTTTCTGCAAAACCATTAATTAATATTTATGTAAAGCGGTTTGCTGGAATTAAATTTGAAATCCAACCGAATAAAAGAATTTTAAACTAGAGATTCCAACGATCAAGCATCACAAAAATTAGAGCAAATTGTGAATGTTGCTCAAACAACAATGAAAGTAATATTAAATTTCATTGTTGTGATGCGTGACCTTGTTCGGCCTGGGCCTGTCACTTAATAAGCCAATTTTTTTCGGTACTTTGTTGGCGCGCCGGCCAGCCCAGTTGGGTAAGAGCTTGCACGGGAGGACTCGGGGCGCAGAATACTAATCCCCGGGGCCCATACCATGCAGGGTTCCAATCCTGACGGGGCTGGCCTTTTTCACACCTTTTTATAGGTCCAATTGCATTTCAAATCACATTTACTTATAAAAAAAAACTTGCATATTGAATTAAAAAAATTATTGTTGAATAAAATAATTAAATAACACATATTTTCGGGCACGATCTTCAAGGGCTCGTAATCATTTGCATATTTTATTATTAATATTTTATTATTTTAATTCAAGGAAGGCAGATAAGAATCAGCGGCAGAGAAGAAACCCGGCCCTGTCGCCTCCGCGCGTATTCAAATCCGTTTAACTCGCTTTGACAGAAAAATGAAATTTCACTTAAATTGTAAAATGCCATGATAGAAAAAGATAATAATTTTAACTGGGTTTGCTGCATAATTTAATCAATTCTATATTCTAAGTTGTTGGAATCATTTTGATTATTGTCAAAATGATTTTTTTCTAAATGATTATAATTTTCAAAACTAACATTTTAAAAGTATTATTTAATCAAAATTAATTAAAAATAAAAAACTCTTTTCGAAAGTTTCAAACCGAATTCAATTTACTCACAATTTTGACTCTATTAGTGTGTTTTCTGCAAAACCATTAATTAATATTTATGTAAAGCGGTTTGCTGGAATTAAATTTGAAATCCAACCGATTAAAAGAATTTTAAACTAGAGATTCCAACGATCAAGCATCACAAAAATTAGAGCAAATTGTGAATGTTGCTCAAACAACAATGAAAGTAATATTAAATTTCATTGTTGTGATGCGTGACCTTGTTCGGCCTGGGCCTGTCACTTAATAAGCCAATTTTTTTCGGTACTTTGTTGGCGCGCCGGCCAGCCCAGTTGGGTAAGAGCTTGCACGGGAGGACTCGGGGCGCAGAATACTAATCCCCGGGGCCCATACCATGCAGGGTTCCAATCCTGACGGGGCTGGCCTTTTTCACACCTTTTTGTAGGTCCAATTGCATTACAAATCACATTTACTTATAAAAAAAACTTGCATATTGAATTAAAAAAATTATTATTGAATAAAATAATTAAATAACACATATTTTCGGGCACGATCTTCAAGGGCTCGTAATCATTTGCATATTTTATTATTAATATTTTATTATTTTAATTCAAGGAAGGCAGATAAGAATCAGCGGCAGAGAAGAAACCCGGCCCTGTCGCCTCCGCGCGTATTCAAATCCGTTTAACTCGCTTTGACAGAAAAATGAAATTTCACTTAAATTGTAAAATGCCATGATAGAAAAAGATAATAATTTTAACTGGGTTTGCTGCATAATTTAATCAATTCTATATTCTAAGTTGTTGGAATCATTTTGATTATTGTCAAAATGATTTTTTTCTAAATGATTATAATTTTCAAAACTAACATTTTAAAAGTATTATTTAATCAAAATTAATTAAAAATAAAAAACTCTTTTCGAAAGTTTCAAACCGAATTCAATTTACTCACAATTTTGACTCTATTAGTGTGTTTTCTGCAAAACCATTAATTAATATTTATGTAAAGCGGTTTGCTGGAATTAAATTTGAAATCCAACCGATTAAAAGAATTTTAAACTAGAGATTCCAACGATCAAGCATCAAAAAAATTAGAGCAAATTGTGAATGTTGCTCAAACAACAATGAAAGTAATATTAAATTTCATTGTTGTGATGCGTGACCTTGTTCGGCCTGGGCCTGTCACTTAATAAGCCAATTTTTTTCGGTACTTTGTTGGCGCGCCGGCCAGCCCAGTTGGGTAAGAGCTTGCACGGGAGGACTCGGGGCGCAGAATACTAATCCCCGGGGCCCATACCATGCAGGGTTCCAATCCTGACGGGGCTGGCCTTTTTCACACCTTTTTGTAGGTCCAATTGCATTTCAAATCACATTTACTTATAAAAAAAACTTGCATATTGAATTAAAAAAATTATTGTTGAATAAAATAATTAAATAACACATATTTTCGGGCACGATCTTCAAGGGCTCGTAATCATTTGCATATTCTATTATTAATATTTTAATTCAAGGAAGGCAGATTACAATCAGCGGCAGAGAAGAAACCCAGCCCGGTCGCCTCCGCGCGTATACAAATCCGTTTGAACTCGCTTTGACAGAAAAATGAAATTTCCTCAGCACCGGTCGGTTGGCAATTGGTCAGGATTTTTTTTCTACAAATCAGGAGAAAAAAATGCACATAATTTACGGATTTTGGCGTGGATTGGCGTGGGATCGCGCGCTGATTGGCTGGCGCTCCCATTCAAACCGACCGCTGGCGGAGGGTTGATGTCTCCTTGGTTGATGTAATCATGAGAGATCAAATTTTCTGATCTTTTTCGATCCTATAGGGGCAATTGTAGACGTTTGACAAATGAAATCGCTCGATTTAAATTATGTGCGCGAGCAGCTTGCTGTGTTCATACGAACAGAACTAATACTTCGCGCAATAAAATTATTAACAAAACATTGGAAGTATTTTCATTTTTAAAATCCAAGCGGGAGGAAAAAGATTAAAATTTTATAATAAATAATTCAAAGGAATAAGTAAAATTATACCTTTTTTTAATGTGTGAATACAATTCATATTTTTAAACCTACTATAATTATGATCGAAAGCCGCGGGCCCCGGGCGGACCACCGTCGGCCCCCGGGCCGATCTTAGACTCCCGCGGCCGAATTTGGACGACGGCGGTTGAAATGTGCATAAATCGCGGGTTTCCAAGGGATTTTATCAAAACACGGCACCTCCGAGTTTCCTTTGTCGCTTTGCATTTCTCACGCGCTGTGCTTTTCTTCTGGGAGAAAAAAAGCACACGCCGGCGGCCGCCGCTCGCGTTCTAGTGGCCGGATTATCGATTTAAAAAAAAAATAAATAAATAAAATTAAGTTAATTTTTGGGCTGATTTTTCCAGGGGTCGCCCGGGCTCGCTGCGGCTGAATTGCCGAATTTTTCGGCGGCGCGGGTCGGTTCCAGGGCGATGAAAGTTTAGCGCCCCAGACGGGCTCTCAAAAACAGCGCGATTTTTCGAGACCGGTGACTGCTCATTTTTTTTTTTTATTACACAGAACAAGAAGAAAGGGGCCCTTTAACCCCCTGCCAGTGAGAGCCCTCGCACACACAAAAAGCAAGCCTACCTGTCTTTCTCAATTTTTCAGGAGAGGCGCTGACTCCGCTGTTCATTCCCAATTGTACCGGCCGCTGTTGGAGGGCTGATGCAATCGTGAGAGAACAAATTTTCTTATCTTTTTCGATCTGATCGGGGGATTCGGAAATGGTAGACGTTTGACCCATGAAATCGTTTGATTTAAATTGTGCGCGCTGTGTTTTTACTAACAGAACCAATGCTTCAATATAAAATTATTTTCAAACATTGGAATTCTTTTAATTTTTAAAAACCAAGCGGGAGGTAAAAGATTTAAACTTAATAATAAGTAATTCAAGGATATAAATTTATATTTATAAATATATAAAATTATTCCCTTTTTTAATTTTTTTATACAATTCATATTTTTAAACCTACTATATGACACTATATGAGTTTCTAGTGGCTTTTTATTTATGCTTTTGGAGCATAAACAGCCCAAATTAAAAATGAATAAAAATAGTTGATTGTTTATATTTGACGTATGTCTTTAATAAATTTAAATTTTTATGAAATAATAAAACTGAAATTCAATTTTTTTTCCTAAACAAGTCGGCCAATTATGAAAAATTGGTTGGGAGAAAAATCTGTAACAGGTGCAGGCTTCAAAAGCGCTGGGTCCGGCGCCGACTTTCGGTCAAGACGGGCAAAGGAAAATAAAAACGACATCCGTAATAACACACAAAGCATACGCTTGCGCGGGTTTGACGACACGCAAAAAATAAAAAGCGAGGTAAAGCCTACCCCCGAGTGCATTATAATTTCGTGCATCACCGCGAAAGCTGGGAGCAGCAGAAAGTGCACAGCACACCCGCCGCGCTTGCAGCCGTCATTATTTGGGTTTTTGGCATAAGAAGACAAATAATGTCATCTCAAATATGAAAAATTCTTAACTGCACACAAAATGACAGGAAAGACTACGATTTCTTTGAAGCAAGCGGAAACAAAGAGCGTGCAAAAGATTTCCATCAGAAGGAATCATCATCAACTGGTTATCAATTAACCTGGATCCTCTAGACAAGTGAATGTGGAAATTTTGTTTTTTTATTCATAATTATAATATTATTTAATATAAATTATATTTATATTCCAATTGAATTAATTAGATCAGATGTCTAATCAGACCCAATCAATAAAATTACGTGTACAATTGACGACGTAACATCAATATACATTTATTCATGGCACAAAATCACATTTAAACCTAATGCAAAAACGAATCTTTAATTGCATGATAAGAGAGGTAAAAATGAAAAGAGAGTTTCCCCCCCTCTTCTCAAAAGATTACTTTTGATTGTGATTCACCAAGACTATGCAATTTTTGTTTTTTTTTCTCGATCTGTTCAACAGCCAACATAACAACAATAAAGTTTCCCGTTCGCCAAAAACATGACTTAGGCGCAACACCCGTGCAACATGCAAATTGTAATAATTAAACACTTAATTGCAAGACCATTTTTTTAATAGAGACAAATATTTCCCTCACATTCTCACACAATGCCGGACGCTAAAATTCGCAACTGTTCAAGGGTTATGATAGAAAAAAAACGATATTTTTTGGCATATTTTTCGGAAAAAAATAATCTATTAGAAAAAAGGGAAAAATAAAATTTACAGAGTGCATGCCTAGGAAAATAATCGCAGAGGCTCAAAAGTGCAAAGTCTCAAATAAAAAGGCGATTTTTTTTTTAAATAATAAATAAATATCTTTCAATAAAAAAAAAGTTTGAGTTTGGCGTTATTTAGTTTAAGATTTTAGGCTGAACTTTTTGAGGAATTTGAGTTAGAAATCGGTTCTCAGGTCAATCAATTAGATTAATTTTGAGTCGTTCGAAAGTGCTAAACTTGTAACATGAGCGTGCATTCCTGGCTGCTTTTATTTCCATCCCTCTCAGCGCGCGCTGCGTATAGGCATACAACACGGGTATACGGTGAATTGTTCCGCCGGAGACTTGTTCCGCAAAAAACAGGTGGGTTGTTCCGGCAAATCCGAGCAAAGAGCCGCACCCCCTGCACAATAGGGGAGTTGTTCCAGGCGGGAATAGATAAAGTAAAATTATCAACTTTTCTTGACGGATCAGCAAGGCGGGGGATTTAAGTTTGCTCGATCATCCAGCAGGCCTAACATATTGCGAGAATCACGATTTTGAGACTTGAATTTGAATAAAACGACTGCAAATGGGTTACTATTATCATTATGTATCTTTTCAAAGAAAACGCTAGTCTATAATTCAAATTTGACTTTTCACTAAAGATTTTGCGCACCGAGTTTACCTTTAAGTATAGAAGCGTGCCGCCCGGTCAAATTATTATTATTTCATGTAAATGTATCATTTCTTATTCAACAAATATTAATTTTTTTTACAAGAAAGCAGTGGACGGCGACTAGGATTTTCTGCCCAGTTTCGTTGACTTGACGCGAGAATTATGTATTTCATCCCTACTCGTTGACGCACCAAGCCATTCAGCAGGTACACGCTTCATCACCCGGATGACCTCAAATCACGTTTTTTGCCAACTGCGGCCGAGCAGAGGCAAAATTCGAAAATTCAGCTTTTAAGTGCGACGCGGAATTTTGCGGCGGACGCGCAGGTGCTCTGCGACCGGACGGTTCCGCGAGAGCGGCGGACGAGTTCGCTTTGCCGCGCGGGGCGTTAGGAAAAAACACGGAAACACGGAGGCCACGGCGTCGATCCGGGTCGGCGCCGCCGTCGAGGCGGTTGCGGGGGACGTCGTCTTTGCGTCGTTTGACTCGCTTCTGGCAGGCTCGGCGGCACCAATCGGGAGCCGCGGCGCCCGATAGGATGCAAACCTCTGGCGGCCGGCGCTGCCGAACGCGACATATAAAGAACAAGAAGAAATGGGCCCCTTTTGAGCCCCTTTCTTCTTGCCAGTAAACCATCGCGCTAAGGAAAAGAAAGAAAACAATCCTACCTCTCCAGAGGTTCAGCCGGATAACAGGACTCGCTCGCTGGTTTCGCTCCTGTCTGTCTCGGAGAGATCTCTGGCACACAAATTACCGCACGCAGGTTGGTAGCTATACGGCAATCGCCGAAAATAGGAACCCTAAAAACAGAAAAAAACGAAGATTAGTACCGAAATTATTGTTATATTTTTTTATTATAATAATTATATATAATTATTTATATTACATAATTATATCCCTCGTTGGAAAATTGATGGTGAAATATTTTGTTTCATAGATCCCAAAATTAATTTTTTAGATTTAACTTATAACATAATTTGAAACTCTAAAGGTTTCAGCAAAATTCAATCAAAAGAGTCGAATTACTTCACATATAAAAAAAAAACGAAAACAAAAAGAGATTTTTGTAAGGAGACATTAAGTTTCTTTAATGCCATGGTTTTGTTTAAAGAATGAAGCAATAGTTTAAAATTATAAGATTGGATTCAGATTAAAATCAGTCAGATTAAGTCCGAATTACAAAAATCAATACCGAAATTAAATTAAACCGGAAAAGGAAAATACATAATCAGAGATCGCGAAATTAGAATTACCCAGGGGTTATTCTAGGATTATTTGCCGTCCAAATCCGGCATGAAGTCGGGAGGAGGAAGGGAAAATTGGGGTTTGAGACCAGCGAGATGATGACGCAACAAGTTTGCAACTCAATTTCGTCTGAATTTGTTGGATCGCACATTTTTTCGTCAATTCCTGTTTTGGCGACGATCAGTCCATATGTACAAAAAAAAACCAATCCCGTGAAAGAGGAAATAGTTGCTATGCGGCAAAGAGTGCTGATTGACCAATCGCCAGTCAAGAAACAACCATGGGCCGAAAATCGTGCTTGAACACGTTCACACGCTCGAATCTCTTGTTGCTTATGCGCTTGCAGACGCGATGACAGCTCAATGGCGCATGGGGGAGGAAGGTTTGAAAACTTGAAAATTGAGAAGCAGGAGTGCAATGTCTGGAAAAAAATAATTGCGTTGCAAAATGAAATCTCCAGATATTACGTAGACAATTAAAGGATAAAATATGAAGACGATTTCTATCGCAATAATTTTTTTAAGCATAACTTATTATCTGGCCATTTTGGCCAATAAAGCCGTCGAAGGGGGCGCCCTCGCCGACGCCCACGGACTTTTCGTCTCGTCGAAGAACCGCGGTGTTCGGCCAGACGACCTCGAGTCGCGTAATCGGCGGCCGACTGCGCCCTAACCGAGGCGAAATCGGGAAATCTGGCGACTTGGCAGGTCGACGCGCGCAATTTCGCTGCAAACCGCGAGATTCCGCCGCGCGGGCCGCGGATCAGGAGCGGCGGCGCCCGAAAGGCGGCGAAGGGGCCGCGGCGGCGACGAAAATCTCAACCAAACGGGATAAAATCAGAAAAAGACGGAAATCTAAGAGCAATTCATGTAAATAATGACAGCGGAGTTTCAATTAACTAACAAATTGAATCGCTTTTGAGCATTTAATGAGTGAGAACATGAAACGGACATTGTAGGTCGAAAAATCTTTGTTAATAACGGAAATTCCGACGCAATAAATAGTTAAACGACGACGCTGGCGTATAAAGAGGGCTGGAAATGGGATAATGGCACCAAAATTATGAAAAAATGTACGAGATTAAAGATTAATTACATACCTTACAGTAGGCCGAGGGCTGAGAGGTCGGGGACGCGTCTGATGCGCTCGGCGTCTGCGAGGGAAGAGAGCGTCTTTTGCACTCATTTCAAGGACATCGACTCGGTTACAAATTTCGGCTCGACCAATCAGGGCCCTGCCTTGACGCTGCGCGGGAAGTGGCACACAAGGGGACTCGCGCCTTTTTTGCTATGAATTTAATTTTTGGTAATTTTTATGTAATAAATTCGCTTTTTCGGATCAAAAGAGTTGAAATAAATGAAATGTTTTCATGGAAATAAATAATTCAACATTTCCTTTGATTAAAAATGCAAATATTCTTTTAAATTGTTAGACATTAATGCCATCAATTTAGCTTTGAAAATTTTTACATAAATGTTACATAAATCGTATTATTAAGAAATCACGTTCCTAATTAAATTAAATCTGGAAATTTTAAACAAGGCGATACTCAAATATGACCCTGTGATATTTTCTATAAGTTTTTTTGAATACTTAAGGCATAAAAAAGTCAAGAAAAAGCGTTTTTGTGCATAATTATTTTCTGTCAATATAAAATATTGTTAGTAAAATGTATTTTACCTATGAAAGTACTAATTATTATGTCAAAAGTTTGCTTAAATATTATGAATATGTTGCAATTGATTGAAATATTAGCCAAATATCTTGGATTTCTTGGAGTAAGATGGTAAAAACTGATGTGATTGCTCAATTTACATTAATTCAAGCATGCAGGAATAGATAGATTTTCTCAAAATATGAAAATGAATTTCAATTCATTGAGTCAATAATTAACTCTCAATTGAATGAGTTCTTAGTTTTTTTTTATCATTTTCCCATGTTGGTATTAAAAAAAAAATGGTTTCTAGATAAAATTAAAAAAATCAAGACGATGCGATATATCTAGGCAAATTAAACCATATTGAAATCACTAGTATATGATCTGCCTTAAATTGAAGGACACTATTCAAATTTTAACGAAAACAATCAAAAAGTCATAAATCATAAATAAAAAATTTCACCGCCTGCAATTGGTCTTCATGAATTTTAGTGTCTTCTGCATCAATGGTCTCTTTACCTTTGATCACAGTAGCTGTAGATGAATTTTCAAATTCACTTAGCATTGAAGAATATTCATCAAAGTCTCTTTTTGACTTACAAGGACAGTCACTTAAGAGACCGACAGCAACAGTGAGAGCAAGTCTTTGGACGACATTCCTGACGGGCCAGCCTCATTAGAGTCATAAGATTGAGAAACTTTGCTTGGAAGAGATCTTCTATAGCAGTCACATGTTTTTCCTTGGAAAAAGTTAAAGGTTAAAAACAGAAAAATGCACAATTATTTTGTAAGTTACCTCTGCTGTTTCCATACACTGCAAGGAAACTTGACCAAAGAGTGTTCAAAAGCTAACTTGGTGGTTCATTGTGGAGCTTTCCTTGCTTCATTATTATCTTTTATTTTCGCAGCAAGCTGAGATCTCTGAAATAAAAAAAGGGAAATTTGTAAGCAACGGATGGAAAGAAAATAATGTATGGAAATAATCAATGTTCCAACCTCATAAACATCTCTCCAGCATTCATATTCTTGCCTAATAGCAGTCTTAAACTCATTGCTGACCAAAGACTCCCATAGAGCGTCAAGATCTTCAACAAATTACTGGTTGTAGTGCTCTATGGGAGCCGCAGCTGCAATGCATTTGCCTGTGAAAACACTGCATGGCTCGAGTAAAAAGAATGGTACACTGCCCACATGCTCGTAAGCTGCGCCGAAATATTTTATGAGAATTTAACTTTATTTATTTAGAAACTGACAAACCATCAACATTATCTTGAAGTATCTTGATGCACAAATCTTGCTAAGTGGGTACCTCTCGCCACGAAATGCTTTCATCCCCCGAATAAACTTTAGTTCTGAGGACAGAAACAAGATAAAATTTCAAATAGATATTAAAATCAATCTTTTTCTTCTTCTCATTATACTTCTTGCTAGGATGAGTGTTATCAAGATTTTACAAGGCGCGCATCTTCAAAAGGTCACCGAGGGAGGAGATTTTCAGTTTTTCCATATTCAGGTTGTCTAAAGTAGTCGACAGGCTCTCTCTTAATTTTTTCGGTGTCTTTTTTCTTGTCTTCTCTGGGTCGACTGGGTCTCTTGCTATTCAATGAGTGCCTATACCTGTCTTTGTCTTCCCTGCTGCTTTTGTGTTTTGATTTTGAGGCGTCTAGCCTATGGTCTGAGGAACTTGTTCTTTTCCAGTCATTGGTCATCCACACTTGAGCTGTGTCGATGTTTTGATTTTTCTTCTTTGTGAATTTCTTCCTCTGCTTCACTCTGCTGGCGGTCCAGATCTTCCATCAGGCCAGACAACACGGCCTGGTCCACATTGCCTTTCTGCAAAGACTTTTGCAGTACCTTTTTTAAATTCAAATTTTCAAAAGTGGATATTTAACAAAAGTTTGAGGGCTTTTACAGAAAGGTCCTCTTTATTGAGCATCCCAACAAGGCCCTGTAGATGGTCATCGGTCTGCACGATCGACCTGAGCTTCAGAACAAGTTGCTGGTCGGTGCGCTCGTGTAGAATGAACATGACTGCAATCTGCTCCAGCGAGTTGACAGCGTTGTTCAGGCTGTTGGTGATGCTGCAGGACCGTTCTTTGTGCCGCGCAGCCTCTTCTCGATTGTATTCCACAACCCTTTCAAGCGCTTGTACCTTTCAAAATATTGTTTGAGTTTTTCTAAACTAGATTTAAATATTAATTTGACTTAATCTGTACTCGACTAATAATGTCAGTTTTATTTTTCAACACACCTGATGCTCAAGCACAAGGTTTTTTTGCAAAAGTTCCTGCACAACAGGGTCCTCGCTCTGCGGGTAGCGGGTGGACACCCTGAGCTGCTTTAGCGTCTGGTTTTCATTGACCAGCTTCTCAAGTAGGATCTGCGTGAGGAACTTCCTGTTGCGTGCTAATTCATGGTGTAAAAGGTTCTTTTCGATTCTGACCTCTTTCAGCTGCTGCAGCACAACCAATTCCAGTTCATCTAGCTGCTCTTGCTTCTCTACCTATAATAAATTGATCGATTTTAGTAAATCTGTTATAATATAAAACAAATATTACTGACGAGTCTTTTCTCTACATCTTGTAAGTGGTGCGCCAGCTTGACCATTTGGCCAGGAAGGCGCCATTCGGCCTCGCCCAAAAACCTCCACACATGCATGGTGGAGCGCCTTGCCACCTCCTGACCTGCACTTTCTCCAGTCGCTTCGGTCCTTATTTGTGAGGAAACTTCAGCAGGGAGTTGATAAGACAATGCTGGAGTGTCAGGAGAGAATTCCCAGATGTGCAAATTAGAAGCGGTCAATGGTTTTTTCTTAATGCTCCAACACGCAAGCAGAGATCGCTTTCCAAATCTGGAAAAACATAAATTAAATTCCTTTCACTTCAATTTAAAAGTTATGATTCCATTTACTTGTCCACTTTCTCCAGGTTTTTATACATTTTGGCAAACTTCTTCTCAACTTTTTCCGGGCTTTTAACTTCACTATCATATATTCTGATTTGCATTTAAACTTTCATAAATTTTATCATTTTCTAAAATTAAAATAAATTTCAAATACCTTGAATTCTGTTGAATACAGCCAATTTGGAACTTGATTAGGTCAATGTACTGATTTATAGCTGAAGTTTCCGCAATTTTGGGCCAAGGGGCACCAAAGTGAGGCCTCACTTTTTCCAGCAATTCCACTCTCAGACTGGACATTCGATTCTGCAGCAGCAGATAGTCTTCAAACTGTAAATTAAAAAATTAAAATGAGATCAAATTTAATAGCATGGTTTTATCACCTTTAAATTTATGCCAATCAACTCTTGCAAGAGTTGTTGCGAGTTGTCCCAAACGTTCGAAGTGTCCCAAGTGGGACAGTCGTCGATGGACTTCCACAGCGCCTTGTACTCGATGACAAGAAAGTTCATGGCCAGCCATGTCTCCAGGGTCTCCTCGTACCTGCCCTTGAGCACATTCAGACGAACCAAGCTGCGGATTCAGCGTGTCCAGGGCGCAAAACTGGTTAAAACAATGCATTTTACACCTTCACGAGGTCAGTCGTCGATCCCGCCTCCGCTGTCGTTCCAATGCAATGATCCCCGCAGTCCGCACTTTTGTTTTTGTTGACTATTGACTATGTACAATAAGTACATAATTATGTACATACATTTGACTCCTCTGCGTCGTGATCTGGTCGTGATCTGCTGACTGCTCTCTGCAGATGTTGTTAGCGTCAGCAGTGCAGGAAAATGGAACTAAATACGGAATTTATAATTATAACCCAATTGTACATATAGTAGAGAAGTACGTACATAAAAACACGACGGATATTATGGAAACGATAAAAGGAATTCAGAACTAGGAGCGCATTCATGGCTGCATGCCTCTGAAATTCTGAATAACCATTGACCAATCAGAGAGAACTTTGCAAATTCCTTGTGCTCGCGTTCTCATTGGCTCGACTGCTCGACTCGCTCGGAAGTTGCTGCGCCTGTAAAATGCGCGCCTATTCAAATTTTGGAAGTAGTGTGCTTACCCGCCTGTTGGTGGCGTGAGTGATCAGTGGTTCATTCCGTAAAAGTTTTCTTCTCTTTTCGCAGTTTGCTTTTATTGAGGCAAAATTGTTGCAAAATTGCTTTGATCAGCAAGCGCGCGCGGTTGATATTTGGGAACCCGATTATCTCTACGTTGGCTATGGCGAAATTGATTCTCTGTAAGTTACTTTTTGCTGGAATTTTCAAAATAATTTTTGCAGGACGCATACATATAAAAAGACGCTATTTTTTTTTATCATGAATTCATATTTTAACTTAACACATGTCATCATTACAACATCATTCAATCATCAACGAAACTGCTGAATATATAAATTCTCGTTTCTCGTTCATTGATTGGACCGAATAAAAAAAATTGTGCGCTTTGATTGGCTGAATCGTAAAGACACGTTGAAATTTGCAGTGTTCAAAGGATCTTTAAAGGTTCATTGGTACCTAAAAATAAAATTTCGATTATGATTAATCTAATTAAATTTAAACTTATAACTGGTAAAAATATTGAAAGTTAAAAACTTAAGAAAATTAGCTTCACTGAATAAGGTGAGCAAAAAAATTAATCAACGTATTTGTTTCCAACACACGTCTAGCTCCTTACTTAAACTCTTGTCATGCACACAACCAGAACCAACAAAAACAAAATCTAAAACTATTCTCAAACTGTTTAGGGCCCTCCTCGTCTCTTTTTTTTTGCTCAGTGTGTTTGTCGTCAAGTCGAGTTGAACGAATTGACGTGATGATTTGCAACTGAGGTGAGAAATCTTTACCAAATCCTCGTCAGTTGAACCTTGAGCAATATAATTGAAAACCTGTTTTCCGCAGAAAATGTCATCGCGAGGAAGCAAACGAGCTTGCGTCGTCGTCCTCGGGGACATCGGCCGAAGCCCTCGCATGCAGTACCACTCGTTGTCCCTGGCCAAGGAGGGCATCAACGTCGACCTCGTCGGCTACCAAGGGTCGGTGCCCATCAAAGAGCTGACCCAGAACTCGTCCATCCAACTCCACTTCATACAACCTTGCCCTAATTTCAGAAAATGTATGTACACTTCAGTTTCAAAGTTTTTAATTCTGGATAATTATTCAAAAAATTTCTTTTAATTTAGATTTGCCTGGTTTGTGTGCCTACGTCCTGAAGGCTCTCTGGCAGGCTGTCACCCTGTTGCTGGCCCTCATCTGGGTGCGACTGAGTGAAGGTCGATGCTCCCACCTACTGATGCAGAACCCTCCGTCGGTGCCAACTCTCGGGGTGTGCTGGATCTTCTGCCGAATTGTCAACCCCAAGTGTCGATTCATCATCGACTGGCACAACTACGGATACTCGGTCATGGCAGCTGCGGCTCTTTCCAATAAAAAAGAGGAAATGACAGAGAAGAACCTCCCCATCCTGCCGAAAATTACATACTGGTTGGAGGGGTGGTTCGGACAGCGAGCCGACGCTGGCCTCTGCGTCACCAGGGCCATGAAGGAGGATCTTTTGGAAAGATGGGGTGTTCGGTGGGGATTTTTCTGAAAACATCAAATTTGAGTTCATTCAAATATTTTTCTTTTTAGGGTAATCACTTTATATGATCGACCGCCAATGCATTTCCAGCCTATTGCAAAACCAGTGGATGTTCTGGCAGAATTGTCCCAGCATTACAGTGACCTTGGCACTGCTTTGAATGTCCAAGATGACCGGCCTGTTGCAATTTTAGTGTCCAGTACGAGCTGGACGGAGGACGAAGACTTTAATATTCTCTTGGACGCGCTCCAGGGTATATTTTGATTAACGTTTTAGATTTCTGCGAATGATTTTGGTTTACATTATTAAAAGAAAAAAACGTTGATCTCAAGTGACCGAGTTCCTTACTATTGAAAATTTCAGAGTACGAAGATGCACGAAGCCAAGATCCTGACTCGTACCCATTTTTGGTCTGCGCCATCACAGGCAAAGGGCCTTTGAAGGAATTTTACAAAGCAGCAATTGCCAAAAAGGAGTGGATTAATGTCAAGGTTGTCACTCCTTGGCTGCAAGCGGAGGATTACCCAAAACTTTTGGGTAAGAAACTCAACAAATGATTTAATTCCATCTTATTTTGCTCCATTTTTAGGCTGTGCAAATTTGGGTGTCAGTCTGCACACTTCGACCAGCGGGCTCGACCTGCCAATGAAAGTGGTCGACATGTTCGGCTGTGGACTTCCTGTTCTGGCTTACGACTTTAAATGGTGGGTCGTAATAGACTAATTAAAATAAGTATTGAAAACAACAAATCTTTCATTATTAAGGTTCCAAAGCTTTAAAAATTTAATTTTGGAACTTCAGTCAAACTTAAAAATAAATGTTTATAAACGGTAAATTTCGTTATAAAGGGACTAAATCTTATAAAACTGTAAATTTGGAAACTTGTATCAAATTTAAAAATTAAAAATGTTTGCAGCTTGGGAGAACTTGTTAAAGAGGGGAAGACTGGTAAGGTGTTCACGGATTCATCCGAATTGGCGAAACAACTGCTCGACTGGCTGAGAGGATTTCCCAGTGACCTGAAGCAGCAGCAGTTGCACAAATCATTCCGAGATAATATCAAAAAGTGGGCACAACTGCGCTGGGACCAAAACTGGAAGACTTCGGCTGCTCCGATTTTTACTTACGATGATTGATATTTGAATTTAAATAATTGCTGGGATTTTGTCAAATGTTGTTATTATATTTTCACAATATACAGAATAATTAAGAATTCAATATTTCATTTGTCTCGAAACATTTAAAATAAAAAATGAATTGTGATGAGAAAAAAAGTTAAAATGCATGTGAGAGGATCAGCGGTCACCTAGACCAGCAGCTTTTCGATCTCAAGCTGGATGGATTGGATCTGTGGCTTAAGCTGGGAGCCCTCATTCACCGTCACAGAGCAGGCAATTACAGGACGGGACACTCCACACGCCCTTCCAAGAGCTGCAACATTGCAAAATTAAATAAGCAAGTCAACCTTGAGGACAAAATATACGTTTAATAAAACTTTTGTATGCTGAATTTAAAATAAAATTAATTGAACGATTCAGTAAGAAATTTAGATCAAGATATTTCAGTTAAATATTCATAAAATTTTGTAAGCATACCCTGCTTTGAACGAACAAAGACGTAAGGAACGTTTTTGTCCTCACACAGAAGAGGAAGGTGCAGGAGAATTTCCAGAGGTGTGGCGTCCGCTGCCATCACAATAAACTCGGACAGACCTCTGTTAAGCGTTTTGGTTGCTAAAAAAACCGAAAGAGATTTTTGTACATTATAAATTTAATGATAATAACTGGAATCAACAAACCTTCATTGGCACCTCTTCGGAGCTGCTTGTAATTCATGGCCTGCTGCACCAGGTTCAAAATCTTGCTGGTCAGGGCGGCCGGCGCCAAAGGGTAAGCCTTAGGGTTCACCTCGTCGGTCTGAAATCACAAATAGAATTATAAAAGGTGGTGAAAAATAAAAACTCAAACATTTTTGATAAAACAAACACGTGGGGGATTGGGAAAACCACGCCGGTTAGCCGGATGGCTTCTAACTCACCATGTTTCAGTTTGCCTGCGGATTTTCTAGTTCCAAGAACGGTGCTCGAGCCTCTCTGCGAAAAGTCGCTTCACGGAGGACGCGATTTGCGGTGTTTTATGAGTAAATAAGCGAAAATTTTAATATCTTAGCGGCAGTGTGTTTTTCGAGCAAGGGCGAGTCGGCGAGTCCAGCGTCCAGCATAACCAAGGACTCCAAGGAGCCAAACGGTGGTAAGTATTGACATTAGAAGCTGGAATGGATTGGTCGAGACGCCATTTTTCCGTTTCAAGATGCCAGGCCACCCGGGGTCTTGAAACCGAAAAATGGCGTCTCAACCAATCCAACTTCTAATATCCATAGTAGCAAGGAGATCTCGTGGGATCGCGCATGGCGAAAGCGATTTGCTACTACGTGAGGCAAATATTATATTAAATTGCTCATTTTTAACTTATATTGCCATATAAATAAACAACAAAAATTAATAAAATAAAACAATTTTAAATTGCAGCTTCAATAAAAAAGAAGTGTTTTAGGTGTTATCACGAATACTACAAATATTTGAATTATTCTTGGCGGGAAAAAGAGAATCTGATCCTACCATGAACCTAGTAATTGCTAATAAGTTATACCGAATTCAAACTACTTACAATTTAGACTTTATTAGTGTGTTTTCTGCACAACCATTAATTATTAATTATGTAAAGCGGTTTTCTGGAATTAAATTTGAAATCCAACCGATTAAAAGAATTTTAAACTAGAGACCCCAACGATCAAGCATCACAAAAATTAGAGCAAATTGTGAATGTTGCTCAAACAACAATGAAAGTAATATTAAATTTCATTGTTGTGATGCGTGACCTTGTTCGGCCTGGGCCTGTCACTTAATAAGCCAATTTTTTTCGGTACTTTGTTGGCGCGCCGGCCAGCCCAGTTGGGTAAGAGCTTGCACGGGAGGACTCGGGGCGCAGAATACTAATCCCCGGGGCCCATACCAAGCCGGGTTCCAATCCTGACGGGGCTGGCCTTTTTCACACCTTTTTGTAGGTCAGATTGCATTTCAAATCACATTTACTTATAAAAAAAACTTGCATATTGAATTAAAAAAATTCTAATTGAATAAAATAATTAAATAACACATATTTTCGGGCACGATCTTCAAGGGCTCGTAATCATTTGCATATTTTATTATTAATATTTTAGTATTTTAATTCAAGGAAGGCAGATAACAATCAGCGGCAGAGAAGAAACCCGGCCCTGTCGCCTCCGCGCGTATTCAAATCCGTTTGAACTCGCTTTGACAGAAAAATTTAATTTCAAGTACTAAAATTGTAAAATGATAATAATTTCAACTGGGTTTGCTGCATAATTTAATCAATTCTATATTGTAAGTTGTTGGAATCATTTTGATTATTGTCAAAAAGATTTTTTTCTAAATGATTATAATTTTCAAAACTAACATTTTAAAAGCATAAGTATTATTCAAAATTAATTAAAATTAAAAAACTCTTTTCGAAAGTTTCAAACCGAATTCAATTTACTCACAATTTTGACTCTATTAGTGTGTTTTCTGCAAAACCATTAATTAATATTTATGTAAAGCGGTTTGCTGGAATTAAATTTGAAATCCAACCGATTAAAAGAATTTTAAACTAGACTCCAACGATCAAGCACCACAAAAATTAGAGCAAATTGTGAATGTTGCTCAAACAACAATGAAAGTAATATTAAATTTCATTGTTGTGATGCGAGACCTTGTTCGGCCTGGGCCTGTCACTTAATAAGCCAATTTTTTTCGGTACTTTGTTGGCGCGCCGGCCAGCCCAGTTGGGTAAGAGCTTGCACGGGAGGACTCGGGGCGCAGAATACTAATCCCCGGGGCCCATACCAAGCCGGGTTCCAATCCTGACGGGGCTGGCCTTTTTCACACCTTTTTGTAGGTCAGATTGCATTTCAAATCACATTTACTTATAAAAAAAACTTGCATATTGAATTAAAAAAATTCTAATTGAATAAAATAATTAAATAACACTTATTTTCGGGCACGATTTTCAAGGGCATGTAGTCAGATCCAGTGATAAATTACTAATTTATTATAATACAATTATTTAATTATTATGTTTAGATTCCTCAAAAACTCTATATTTTGAGATAATCAGCAGAAGTTTTAATATACTGCCTACTCTGTCCATGAGAAATATAGATTTAAGATTCTTGCATTGAAATCTCTTCTGTCCGCCTAATCATTTTATATATTATATTATGCAAATACATCTTAATTGTCATAGCATAACTCTCATAACGTTAGATTTACAATGAAACAAAGTAATCCGTTTATTTTTATTATCCGCCTGCAGTGGGCGCGTATTGAGTCATCATATTACCCACTTCTGGGTTACCTCCGCTTTGTGCTGGCCTTGCACGAGACGAGAAGCCAGGTGGGCAGGATGAGTGGGGTCTGAAGTGGGGAGTTGGTCTGGTCTCTCGACGGCTGCTGCGCTGCCACCAAACATTAAAAAATGGTAAATAGTCTGTGGGCAAAACAAAGGCCGTCGTGGAACATTTGCTAGAATTTTTCCACCCGCGCGGACGTGCACCCTCGACCTGAGCATCTCGGACGCTTGACTGTCCGGGCTCGATTGACTCGATTCATACGGAGGCCATGAACCGTCGAGAGTGAAGGATCGAAAGGAGAAGAGGCGAGCTGCGTGTGTGTGTGGGCGGCGAGACAAAGAGGAAGAAGCAAAAATTGCTGGCCTGGTGACATCACCGCGCGGTCCACTCCACGGCCGTCCTCAATTTAGGCTATCACCATGTTGTTGGCCCTTTTCCTGACCTTCCTACTGGCCGGGCCTCTGGTCGCCGAGGTCGAGCAGTCTGTTCCACTAGAGGTAAAAAATAAAATTATTTACAAAATCCAATCTAGACATTATTTTGCTCCATCTTTTAAAAAAAATAACACAGGATTTAAATTTTAATTATATTTTCTAGTAAAAATTTAATTAACCCAAAAATTATACTAACTAAATTATCACTGTCAGAACGTTTTTAAAATTTATTCGAAAACTAATGTATTTTTTAATTCGCAAGGTGAAGAAATGCTGTGACATCGGCTCGATCATGCGGGCGACGCCGAGTCACGCTGCCCAGTGCATGCCGGACAACGAGACGTCGCAGTGGGCGCCGGTGTTCAGCTCCGAGGACGGTCTGCGCAACAACATCCACCCGCGGGGCGGCTTCAACGTGCAGGCGCCGTCGCTGCCGCTGTGCAACTCGACAAGAGTGTGGCCCATCTTTCACTACGCCGACTCGCCGGACAGACTTGTCCTGCTCGAGAGTGGCTGGCTGCGCCACTACATTGACAAAGACCCTGGCGAGCGGCACTACGACTACGAGCCGCGCCTCTTCTGCATGGAGAAGTACATCGGCGAGACAGGTCTGGAGGCGCAGATGGCTGTTGTCTGCACTCCGAAGGTGCGGTTCTTTTGCTAAATTAGTCTGTTAATAAAATAAAATAATTATTTATGCAGTGACTGTCCTGATTATAAGAAGAAGAAAAATTATGGCCACATAAAAATCTTAAATTTGGATTGATATGTTTTTTATATAAGACTAATAATTTACTTTTATCAATCAGGATAATTGATATAATTTCAAAATTATCAAAATTCATTTGTTGTATTTTTTTGTAGATTGAAGTCGAGACAGAGGTGCGCACCATGATTCTGTACATGCTGAACCCAATCTTCCATGGCATCAACATGATCCTGCTGCTGATTACGTCCATCATCTACTTCATCCTGCCGCAGTTGAGAGACCTGCTCGGCAACTTCATCACCAGTCTGTCTATTAGCCTCATTGTGGTCTATGCTGCTGACCTGGTCAGGCTTTACAGAGGTTTCAGCGAGCACGTCAGCTTTCTTGCTGCCGGTATTTTTAACAGCAGATTCTCATATCATGTAAACTGATGTTTTTGTTGATTTCACAGACATTATCCTCCACATCGGACTTCTCTCGACATTTTTCTGGCTCAACAGCATGGGATATTACATCTGGAAAACTTTCAGGTACTTGGTTTTCTCTTTGATTTGACTTGCAATTCAAATTTGGGAGATTTTCAGGTCGAGAAATGTGTTTTTGAGAGTGACAGACAAGAGGAAGTACTGCTACTACTCTTTCTACGTTTGGGGCTGCACACTGTCGATGGCCGCCATCGCCCTGTTCTGCCACTTTGTCCTTGATCTGAGCAACACAGACATTCCCATTTCGCAGAGAAAATTGGGTAATTTTTTGCTAAAATTTTAGTTATTTTTGCTAAAATATAATATATTTTATCTGCAGGTTTTCTTGGACTTTCAATGTTCTTCCTTCCGATTGCATTCATCATCCTAGTCAACGTATTCTTTTACGTAACCACTGCCCAAGCCATAGCGCGAATGACAACCTATGGTCGCATTCAAAATAAAATGAAATACAAGTGAGTACAAAGGCAGCCCTAATTTAACAGATTTTTATGAAAATGATTCTACTTTGTGTATTATGCAAAATTCTATTTAATCACAATTTCCCTGATATCAACTCTGATAATCGTAAAACAAATTTGGCTAACTTAGATTTGATAAGAATATTTCTCGATTTATAACTAAAAGCAAATTTTTTATGCAGCTTCAACATGTTCATCCTGCTATTTGCAATCCTGACCATCACCTGGCTTTGCAAGTTGATGAGCCAGCTCGAGTACGACACCCTGCTCTACATCGACGTGTTTGCCATGTTGGCCCAAGGAGTGCTGGTCTTCACGGTGTGTGTCTGCCAGCCGAGGGTGATGTACCTGCTGCGCAAGCACTTTGGCTCCCCGTCGTGCATTTTCCCCTGCTGCCGTCCACCCTCAGAACCGGCCAGCAACTTCGACGTCACTTGGGGCGAGGAAATGATGAGCATGCACCCCATGTGAAGGAGGACACTCGAGTCTCAGAAGTCATCAAGCTGTTGAATAACTTATTTTTTGAAAATTTATGCATATGCACAGACTGCAGCTGGTTGAATAATACTCGGCACAAATTGCAAAAAACCTTATTGAATCTTGTCGAATTTGACAATATAATGTATGAATTTATCATGTAAGACTTGAACTACGTGGCCTTAAAATATTTTATGGACTTTTACTTCGTTTCAGGAGAAAATTTTAGTACTTATATCTACACTTTTTGACCAAGGCAGCTTAATTTTTGGCGATATATTTTTTGTACCTATAAATTGCTAACTGGGGTTTCCGATCAAAGGAAGAAATCCAACGTTAACAGAAACGATGAGCAACTTTATACTTAAATGGCACGTTAGCTTGTTAATAATTAACATATTTTGGGTCAAATGATTATTAAACAAGATCTTTAGTTTGTGCAGCTGTTGGAATAAAGGCTTGAATGAATGATTTTAATGTATTTGAAAATGTTTAATTTAAATCCCAAACTTGAAGTTTTTAAATTATTTATATCTTTAAGTCTAGATAAGAAAAATATAATCATTTATTGGACATCAGTTGGCGCAATTGCAATTTCTTCCTGGCCTCCAACCTCTTCTGCTCTATTTCCAGTTCTGTGCATTTGTTAGCTGTTGAAAGAATTTATATAATTAATTCCAAAATCAAATTAAGTCTTTTTAACTCACTTGAAGTCTGACCTTGTCCAAAGTCTGCAGATCTGTGTCGTGCAATTGTTGATCCACCGAGCTTGCCGAGAGAAGTTGCAACTGGTTTGCTGGAAGCGCTGGACAGGTCGGCTGACTTGTGTCTCACAAGAGGTGATTTCTTCAAAGCGTTGATGGCGGGTGGCTTGGCTGAGGTGAAAGCATTCCTCGGTGTCGGAATGGCTGAAGGCACAACTTTCATGGGCTTGGGTGCAAAAGAGGGTTTTGGCACAACATTTTGGACTGGCGGTTTTACGGGTTGAGGACGATTGACCTGCGGCCTTGGAAGGTTGGTTATTTGAAGTCTGACAGGTGGGGGTTTAGGTTTGGGAGGAACAACGTTGTTCTTGGCCGGAAAGGAAGGGGTGCTTAGGTGCCGAGTGAAAGTTGTGGCCGTCTTAGTCTGCGGAGGAATGGAGGAGGTGCTTTGCTGCCGTTGGAAAGGAAGTTTCAAAGATGGCTGAGGTTCAATCACAGGTGCAGGAGCTTTGGGTTTATCAGCTGAGGCAGCGCATTGGCTCAAAGCAAAGGCTTCAACGGCGTCGATTTCCTCCAAGAAGCTTTCATCAAAAGGGTCGATGGACTTGTCTAAATCAGGTGTCTGCACCTTTTCGGCTGGAGGATTTATTGTGCTGACTGGAGAAACGAAAAGACTTCTGTGGATGCTCTTGTCACCGTTCTGACTTGCTCTCAGCGAAGAGTTCAACGGGGAGGTGGCACTTTTGATTTTCTCCTTCCACTTGGGTTCAAACTCGGTGCCGTCCGACTGCTTCTTGGCAAGACTGGCCACCGCTTTCTTTGAAGGAGAAACTACCACATTCAGCCTTCTCTTCTGCAAGCCATTTTGGACAATTGAGGGTGCTTTTTTCTCATTGGTGGCAGGGGCAGATGGTGGTGACGGAGGAGGAGCTGCTGTATTTTGCAACTGCTGGCTGAGTCTCACCTCAGACTCCACCTTTTCAGTGCATGCAATGAGACACTCGGCAAACGAGTCGTCAATTTCAAAGGAGCTTTCCTGAGGACTGATTTGCACCTCCTTCGGCTTAGGGGGCACAATTTCTGGCTTGGAGGGATAGCAAAGAAGCTCTTTGGTTGAAGGCTCTGGTGCCACTTGGAAGTTTTCATCATCCCCAGCCGAGTCAAAGGGATCTGGGGACGCCATACTGCGATCAAATTTGTCCGATATGTGCAGAGACTGATGAATTGAACTGTTGAGCATTTCTTCTTCGGTTTCCTTCAAAGCATCTTGCTCACGCTCATTTTCCTCATCTAAGGGAAAAATGAAAATCATTTAATAGGAATATCTCAATATAAAAATTAAGGAACTAAATGTAAAAAAAGAAACTCATTGGCTTGCTTCTTTAGTATTTTACGTTATAAACCTACTCTTACCACTAGAACTCAATTCTTGCAAATCTTTAACGTGTTGCTGGAGAACACTAAGGCCCTCTTGACTAGGTTTCTTCGGAGGAGGGCAGTCATCGAATGTGGGCGAAGGTGTCCTCCTTTTCGAAGGTTTCATTTCAGGTGGCGAAGGAAATTTTCCACAGCTCTGTCTCGATCTTCGGACTGTAAGATTAAAAATTAATTACTTCAAAATTTGCTCCGCTCTATGAATTCATAACTCACTAATCCTGTTGGATTTCTGAACGGCATTGTAGTCCCACAGGACAATCGGTGCCGATTGCGTTTGTGAATAGGGAAAAAGCTCGATTGGACTGAATTCATCATCCAAAACCACCGGCTGGTTGTTTGGCGTCTTGGCAGCATCAAGGGGTGGAGGTACACCCCTCTTAGGAGTGCTCTCACTTTGTCCAGAGTCGCAGCTCGTTGCAGAATTGGCTGAATCAAGATTTAGATCCAGCGTGTCTCTCAATCTACCAAAGCCAGTGTTTGCCACAACTGCGCTGCCACCTCCGCCTCCACTGCAATGGGCAGGAGCTGGAATTTTGTAAATAAAAATATAAAGAATCATAACTGAGAATAATCATGTGCTTGAAGAAAAAACAAATTAATTCAAACTCACGAGCTTTGTAAGGTCTGATGTTGAGCCTTTTCCTTTGAAACCCGTCCATGTTTTTATGAGAAGAGATAACACCTTGGGTTTACTTATACAAAAGCCATATTTTATGCAAAATGTTCCTGATCCAATACATAAACACTTCAACGTGTTAGATGCAGAATTGCATGGACCCTGAAAAACGATGATTGAAGGTGTTATGAATTCATGATAAAAACGGTGGCACCATAAAAACTGCGTCTTTTTGTGTATCGTACCTGCAAAAATTATTTTGAAGAACCCAGCAGAGTAACTGAGAGGTGCTGAGAATCATATCACACACAACCGACGTAGATAATCGGGTTCCCAAATATCAAATCAACAACGGCCTCTGGGTTCGGAGCAATTTTGTACAATTATAATCAAAACAAACTGCGAGAGAAACAGTCAAAATTTCTTGAGTCAAAATTTTACAGAATCAAAATATCACTGATCACTCACGCCACCACTAGGGGACGAGGCGGGTAAAGACACTACTCCCAAAATATTTGAATAGGCGCGCATTTTACACGTGCAGGAACTTAGTTAGGAGCGATGAGTCAAGCCTATCTAGAAATTTGCAAGAGTATAATGAGGATATTGTGGAACAAGTGCAGTAGCTGCTGGATAAAAATAGGGTTGATTTTGTTTATGTAGGAGATTAGTCGTCCCAGACAAATTAGACTAACAAGGATCAATAATTAGATAATATGAAAAAAATAGTAACAGACATGAATTAAAGTAAATTACTGCAGTTTATTTGTTTCGCGTTTTGACTTACAAGATACTTAGGAAAATAAGAACTCAAAGAGAAAAAAATTAGTAATCTGCAGCAGTGTTGGCCAAATAATCTCTTCGTCCAATGTTGGATGCCTGCTTGCTCTGGATGGCCTCCAGTTTGGGGCAGTTTGTGATCCTGTGGCCTAGACCTCCGCAGTAGCTGCAGCCACATTCATCTAAAATCGAATAAAAAGATTTTTAGAAAAGACAAAAATTTAATATATCAAGAATTTCACCTCCAAGATCCAGGTACTTTTCATTCTCAGACTGCATCGTAGCCAGGAACAAGGGCACCCTTTGCTTGGCCTCGATTAAGAAGTGCTTGAGATCAAGAAGGACGGACTCGTCATTCGACTTATTGATGAAGGTCGTGGCAATGCCAGTTTTGTCCGATCTGCCTGTACGACCAATTCTGTAGACTGTGGAAGAAGATAATTGTAAGAGCGGAGGTTTTCATAGTCGCAAGCTAACCATAATTTTCAACGTCATCTGGCATGTTGATAACGTGTTGAACATCCGCAAAGTTGAGACCCTTTGAGGCAAAGTCTGTTGCCACCAGCACGTCCTTGCTACCCTTTCTGAATGCGTCCACTGATCTCGACCTTTCCTCTTGGTCTAAAATTTTATTTATTAGCACAATCTTTCCTATAAAAAATTGATTTACAAAACCTTTTCCACCGTGGATAGCCACAGCTTCAACACCTTTGAGCAACAGGTACTCGTGGATTGCGTCCACATCCTATTTCTTCTCGGCAAAAATCAACACCGGTGGCGGTGTTTTCTGCAGACACTTGAGCAGAACACGATTTTGGCTTCCTGCTTCACATATTCAACCTCCTAAAAGTCGTTGATTATAAAACTTTGAGACTAAAATATTTATAAGAAAAACTTGCCTGTATGACATTCAAAGAGGCGGCACCTGCTCTGCCCACATTTATGGTGACAGAGGCTTTACCAAAGCTGACCTGGCAAAGTATTGGATTTTCTTGGGCATGGTGGCAGAAAAGAGCAGGGTTTGCCTCTGACCCTGTGAAGTTTGCGATTTAATATCATAAAACTCAGTTCTTGCAAATCTTTAACGTGTTGTTGGAGAACACTGAGGCCCTCTTGACTGCTTTTCTCCGGAGGAGGGCATTTTCATCGAATGTGGGCGAAGGAGTCCTCCTTTTCGAAGGTATCATTTCAGGTGGCGAAGGAAATTTTCCACAGCTGTCTGGATCTTCGGACTGTAAGATTAAATAATAATTTTAAAAAATTTGCTCCATTCTCTATGAATTCATTCCATACTAATCCCGTATGCTTTCTGAATGGCATTGTAGTCCCACAGGACAATCGGTGCCGATTGCGTTTGTGCGAATAGGGAAAGAGCTCGATTGGACTGAATTCATCATCCAAGACCACCGGCTGGTCGTTTGGTGTCTTGGCAGCGTCAAGGGGTGGAGGTATTAGACCCCTCTTAGGAGTGCTCTCACTTTGTTCAGAGTCGCCACTCATTGCAGAATATTTGGCTGAATCAAAATTTAGATATCCAGCATGTCTCTCAATCTCAATCAATCATAGCCAGTGTATGGCACAAACGAAACACTTATTTTCTCAAAGAATTATTAAATTTATATTTTTGAGGTCATATAGGAATCGAGAGATAAGACATTGAATGAATATAAGCATATTGGTTTAAATTGAACTTTGCAGAATAAAAGTGTATTTCAAGGTCTGCTGTTTTGGTGTCTGCATCTGCAGGTCACTCTTCGTCAGCTACGGATATGAGGTTTGGGCTTTTGTACTTCGAAGAATCAGGCGGTAAAAACGGCTTTTTGTTATAGAGGCTTTTGTTGGGCTTCGTCGGACTTTGGATGTGTAGGAGAACTAAGCCTGCAACGCGGCTCTGCGTTCCTGCTCATAGCGTATCAGGTCAGAGAGAGCCTCCAGACCTGAGATTTATAAGGTTTAATTAATACAAGATAATTAGCGATAAAAAAATTTACTTAAAGCCCCGTCGTATTTGATGCCGTTAGTGACGGCGACGATGAACAGGGCGTACAGCTTTCCATCAGAGGGGTTTCTCCTGATGGCTTCTCGTTGTTCTTGCGGGAGATAGTCATAGTTGAGCGGACCATCCTGAGGCGTAAATGTGACCCGCCTAATCACGCTGCCAGGGTTCCCGAGCAATCTGCGGCTCAAATGGTACACCTTGAGAGGGATGGTATCTTGGCCTGAGGAAAGTACATACATAAATTTTTTGAATTTTTTTTATCTTCATTAAGGCTTTGCGATTTTCTATATAAATAAATGAATTGAAAATTCTTACGCTCTTTAAAGTTGACTTGTTCCCCGTTGAGAAGCAAGATCAGGTATTGGGACGCCTGATTTAGATGAGTTTTGATCGCGGCGGTCCCAAAGTGGACGTTCACCCTCGGGCTGTACTTAAGGGCCTCTTCGCCGCGATCGCTCACAAAGTCCGGGATGTCCAACTGCTCCACAAAATTGGCCATGACTTTTATAGGGCTGGACTAATAGATTTTAGATTCAAAATCGAGATTTTAATGTTTATCGGCTGAGAACTCGTGAAGCGAATGTATCGAAGATTTGAAATTTGAGTTCGCAAGAAGCAACAATCAGAAATAAGAAAAAGCGTTATGATGAATATGATGAACAGGCATGGATTCGGGATTAGCCAATTAGAAGCCCTGAATTCTTACGATTTCACGTGACGTCATCACGACTAACCGCGCCCCCCGAACAGTCGTTTAAATTGTTGTTGCGAATTTTTCATTTATGTAGTTCTCGCGTTGACAATTTTATAGCATTCAGTTTTAGCGTCGATAATTAAATTATTATGTAACTTAGGATCTAATTTCAATAAATCTTGATAGGTATGTATAGATAGTGGCTTAGATATAATTAATGCTGCCAGAAAATCAATATTTTTTTTTCATGGATGGCCCAAGCCTGCTTCCCTCCTGTGTCCCCCATAGAGAGAGATGGTAGTGAGGAGAGTAAAATAGGTTATTTAACTCTCTGATAATTTCTCCTTAGATAGTAGAACTATATGGGATACGAATAAGGGCGGGGCTAGGTACCAGCTCCCATTTGATTACATTGTACCAGCTTAACATTGTGGGTATCCGCCTTTCTTCGTTTCCCATGATTCTACAATTCCTTGTCCCCCGTCTCCCCTCATTATTTTATAGAAAATCAAAGGAGCGCAATATGTGGGAAACTCAGTCCCATCCCAATGTATTCTTCTCTTTCCCACCGCTAGGTGGTGTATGAATGTTCTGGAATGTTATTTATTTTCGTCTTTTTTTCTATTGCTGGCTCCAGCTGCTCACGTATGTGCGCTCTGTCTTAATTCATGCTCATATATTTAGTTCTTGAATTCCTTTTTCCTTTTGTTATTCTGTGTTGTGTACATATTTATGTCATGGGTTTATTAAGAATCTATGATATATGTACATACTTCTATGTATTCTATTTATATTATTCAATTATGTACGTATCGGTACGTATCACACAAATTCCGCATTTATGTAGTTCCATTTTCCTGCACTGCTGAAGCTGACGAAACCTGCAGAGAGAGCAGACAAGAAAAGTGGAAAGACAGCTGAAAATAGACCGACGACTCATGACCTTTTGGAATTATCAAATTCCATTGTTTTAACCAGTTTTTACAGACTTTTCAATGCCTCTGCTTCGACAATAGAACCAATAGAATGAAATTTGAATCCACGTACTCAGCGCAACACTGCTGAGGAATTCTTAGAGTTGTTAATTGTTGTACATATCAAAATTTAAAGCAATTCTTGTTTTTTTGTTTAGAAGAAAATATGGTGCATAGGATATCCAGTAATTTACAGATGCAAAAATTTGACTTGGACACTCTTCAGTCCAAGCTGGAGTCGGTAATTGGGCGTAATTTTGTTGCACGGTATTATTATTGCAAGCTCTAGTCATATGATTTTTTTCCGTTGTAATTTTATGTGAAAAACAAATTGTAAATTTTTACAGAATATCTGCGAGAGACCTGCTCAAGAAGGAAGACATTTCGCAGCAGCAGATATTGCAGGTGCTGAGGGAAGAAATCTCGGGGCCGATCATATGCGCCCTGGACACGCTGAATCCGCAGCTGGTTCGTCTGAAGGTGCTCAAGGGCAGGTACGAGGAGACCCTGGTGACATGGCTGGCCATGAACTTTCTTGTCATCGAGTACAAGGCGCTGTGGAAGTCCATCGACAACGACTGTCCCACTTGGGACACTTCCAACGTTTGGGACAACTCGCAACAACTCTTGCAAGAGTTGATTGGCATAAATTTAAAGGTGATAAAACCCGCTATTGAATTTCATCTCATTTTAATTTTTTAATTTACAGTTTGAAGACCATCTGCTGCTGCAGATTCGAATGTCCAGTCTGAGAGTGGAATCGCAGGAAAAAGTGAAGCCTCACCTTGGTGCCCCTTGGCCCAAAATTGCGGAAACTTCAGCTATAAATCAGTACATTGACCTAATCAAGTTCCAAATTGGCTGTATCCAACAGAAATTAAGGTACTCTTTTTGAAATTTATTTTGGTAAGAAAAGTAAATTTAAAAGTAAATTAATTCAGGGTATGCGAGACAGAAGTTAAAAGCCTGGAAAAAGTTGAGAAGAAGTTTGCCAAAATGTATAAAAACCTGGAGAAAGAGGATAAGTAAATTGAATCTAGACTAAATTTTAGTGGGATGAAATTCAAATAATGATTTTTCAGATTTGGAAAGCGATCTCTGCTTGCATGTTGGAGCAAGAAAAGACCGTTGACCGCTTCCAACTTGCACATCTGGGAATTCTCTCCAGACACTCCAGCATTGTCTTATCAACTCCCAGAAGTTTCCTCACAAATAAGGACCGAAGCAAGTGGAGAGAGTGCCGCTCAGGAGGTGGCAAGGCGCTCCACCATGCATGTGTGGAGGTTTTTGGGCGAGGCCAAATGGCGCCTTCCTGGCCAAATGGTCAAGCTGGCGCACCACTTACAAGATGTAGAGAAAAGACTCGTCAGTAGTATTTGTTTTATATTATAATATATCAGATTTATTAAAATCGATCAATTTATAGGTAGAGAAGCAAGAGAAGCTAGATGAACTGGAATTGGTGGTGCAGCAGCTGAAAAAGGTCAAAAACGAAAAGAACCTTTTGCACCATGAATTAGCACGCAACAGGAAGTTCCTCACGCAGATCCTACTTGAGAAGCTGGTCAATGAAAACCAGACGCTAAAGCAGCTCAGGGTGTCCACCCGCTACCCGCAGAGCGAGGACCCTGTTGTGCAGGAACTTGTGCAAAAAAACCTTGTGCTTGAGCATCAGGTGAAAATAAGATTTTATTATTTTTCATTTAAAATATGAAAATAATAAAGTAATCGATAAGTGTTGTTGAAAAATGAAATTGCCATAATTAGTCCACTACGGATTAAGTCAAATTAATATTTAAATATAGTTAAGAAAAACTCCAAACAATATTTTGAAAGGTACAAGCGCTTGAAAGGGTTGTGGAATACAATCGAGAAGAGGCTGCGCGGCACAAAGAACGGTCCTGCAGCATCACCAACAGCCTGAACAATGCTATCAACTCGCTGGAGCAGATTGCAGTCATGTTCATTCTACACGAGCGCACCGACCAGCAACTTGTCCTGAAGCTCAGGTCGATCGTGCAGACCGACGACCATCTACAGGGCCTCGTTGGGATGCTCAATAAAGAGGACCTTTCTGTAAAAGCCCTCACTTTTTAAAATCCACTTCTGAATAAACTTATGGAATTTCTAAAAGGTACTGCAAGAGTCTTTGCAGAAAGGCAATGTGGACCAGGTGTTGTCTGACCTGGTGGAAGACCTTGACCGCCAGCAGAGTGCATTCCGTGCCCTGATGCAGCAACTGGGCCCTGAGGGTCTTGCAGTGGCCATCAGACATTTGCCTGCTGCCCAGGTAGATGCCCTTTTAGAGGCTGTGGCTGATGAGAGGCTCGACACAACAACAGAGCTTCTCAGGAGGGCTAAACCAGACGCAATTGATCTTTCGGAAGATCAAGTTGCTGAAGACCGAGTCACAAGGGTCGTCAGTCAACTGCACCAACTACTTGAACGAATTGCATGAATGAAAATTGGCATTTCTTGATATCGGTGGTATAAAATTACTGAGTTTCAATAAGTTTTTTTAATAATACTAATTGCATAATAAGATGATTGCCTATCAATAAAAAAGAAACAAAGGCAATTAAAATCAGAGGAAAATGGGAATGAGTATTTAAATATACAACAAAACATTGTGTGTAATTAAAGATTTGTTGAGATTTAATGAAATAATAAAATGAACCTATACTATCGGTACTATATAATATGTAAGTATTTTATTGCTTTCAAATTGTAAGCAAATTTTAAATAAATTGGGATAAAAAAAATGAGTTTAATATTAAACGCTTATTCGACAACATTTTCATTGACAATTCACTATAATCATTTTAAGGAAGTTTGGAATTTATATTACTTTTTATATCAGTTGCAAATAGCAATATCTATTTTCCATTCAAAAGAGAATTTGAATTATCCGAGTTTAATTTCATTAAGATTGTAAATAGTGTATTTATTAGTTTTACAATTTAATTTACATCAATGCATGAGTTGATTCCTTTCGAAAAAATTTCTTGATATTACTTTGAAATTTCGCGCCCACGCAGTTAGTGAGGCATAAGCCAATGAGAAAGTTGTGAATGAAAAGACTGTGGAGAGGAATTCGCTACTCTCAAGGTTGCCACTACTTGTTGCTATTTGCTTGTGTCTGATTCGCCGCAGCTGTCAGCAGCAGCATTCCAGCAGTGCTCAACGCAAAGAGTCGCACCACGCTTCGAGATCATTTGCGCTTTTCCGGGGCTAATCGCAGCGGAAAAACAACCCCTTCAGCATTCGTGATCCCCTGGCGAACGAAAGTTGAGTCGCAAAACAAAAAGGGCACATATTTGCTGATCTGCTTGAAGGATTGCGATTAAAGCGGCCCGTACGCCGGGTAAAGCTGAAAAATGGAATTTGTGATGTAAGACGTACAGACAGATTTGAAACATTATAATTATGTATGTATAATCTTCTCGTAAATCTTCTCGTTCTCACAGATTGAGGCCTTGATTTGGATTTTGGTGACCTTCTTTTATGCCTGTGCCTGTAGTGGCTCTGGACGAATTGGTTACATAGGCTTGTTGGTCTGCTACTCTGCTCGAGGATAACGGCGCTGACAGGTAATATTTTGCTGTAATAAAAACATTATGTAACATGGCTCATAATTTTGTATCAAAAACATTTTGTTTTATGTTTTTTATCATTAATTTTAGAGGTTTTATGAAACTTTAGGATAAAAATGAAAATATCATAAACATGTTTCCGTACGCCTCTTTTAACTTTATCAAATTAAAAAGGTTTTTTTTGTAAAAGAAAATTTATATTTTGTGTAAATAATTCTGTTATAAAAAATTTATTCAAAGTTTTGCATCAACATAGTGTAGCATAATGATTTATATAGTCAACTATTAATAATTATTACTATTTTATATAATAATTTCATATACATTCCAAAGGCTGCGGGATGAGAATGATGAGATGCTCATCAAAGTGAAAGAGGCCCGTCGTGCAACTCAAAAGCCTGAAGACCCTGTGCATTGAGAAAATTGCCAACACTCCAGAAACTGATCACCACAAATTTGCTAATTTGCGTAAGAGACCCAACATTATTTATCTTTAATTAAATGTGCTGATTTGTTTTATGTTTGATAGCTGTGACAAGCCTGATCAAATACATGGTTGAAGATGACGAAGAAAATTGCTTCCCCTTGAAGTTCTTCGAGGGTGTGATCAATCCTAACCTCAGAGTCTTTGATCTCAAACTCATCTCCCACTTGCAAAGGTCTGATAAGCACACCATCTGGAACCTGCTTCGGTCTCGCTGCGTAAGACTGGTGACCCTCAACGACACACGGAATGATGGTTGCAAGAGCATCCTTGAATTCATTCCCAGAAATCATTGACCTCGCCAAATTCGGAAACTTGCAAGAGCTTTTTGAATGATTTATTTCTACATTCCTTGCAAGGAAATTAAACATTTCCCCACCATTCTCCCACAGCTCATCAGGTAAGAAAGGAAATAATTTTGTGTAACTAAATTTTATTTCGGCATTTGTACATGGCATTAATCTTTTCTACGTCTCTTTGGCTAAGATGATGTCGTTGTGCTAAGGTCACTCCTGATTGCTGGAAAGATGAAAATTCGTTTTATATTTTTAAATTTTAAACAATTACTATAGAGCAAATTATATACCTTTGGTAAAATTGTTGGCCGACCATTTTTTGAAAAAGCCGACGCCGAATAATGCATCACACTTGAATAATCATATGGAACGCCGAAAGAAGTTGATCGAGCCTTGTTAAAGTTGTGCCTATTTGCTATTGTGCCGACAAAGATGTATTTTATTTTGACTATAGTGGCATTGCAAACGCAACATACCGTCTCGTACGTTATTCCACAAAATTTTAACGTGGCTGTCTCGGTCCAACCGTGATTGTTCATGCCAGAATCCAACAACGTGCATCAGCTCGTGAATCACCGTCCCCAGCTATTAGAAAATTCAATAAACCGTAATGCACAAAATTATCATTTTTACCAGTGTGACGCATCCAGGCGTCTGCAAGTTCATGTATTGAGGGCCTCCAGTTCTACCCACGGCGGCCCAGCATCCACTTTTCTCATTTCCAATAAAAACAAAGTCCCTCTGGACGCCGGTGTACTTTTTGAAGCGGATGCAAGTGCGAGTGTGATATTCGTTCATTGCCTTTGTAATTTGCCTCCGAGAATTTCGTGCTTTTTAAATGAAAGTTTTGAAAAATTTTACTTTTTGTATTATTCTTTTACAGAATCTCTTTGAGATTTCGTAGTAAACCACACCGCCCGGCCAGCGGAAGTTTTCGCCAATGATCCCATTTTTGCCCTCAATAGCTTGGCTGTTGTTGTAATACAGAATGTCTCCCTCGTGGTAAGAGCCCATTTCCTCTGGATAAACGTCAGATTTGCTAGTCCAGTTGGAAACTAATTTACCTGAAATGAAATATATATTTCTAAAGAAAAAAAACTCTTGAAAATACTTAAAGCAAGTAGAGAGGCTCACCTACTGTATTCAAATTAATTAATTTATTTAATTTAAACATACCAATTGTGTAGTCCTGCTGCCCTTGGCTGATGTTCCAACTCATCTCTCGCAGCCTGTCCACTTCATTGCTGTGCAACTTTAAATCAAATAATAATGGCACAGCCTGACTGAGAACCAATAAATGGGCCACAAAGGCACCCTTTGTCAATGTGATTGACATTTCCTTGTGCCTGTTCAGATCTTGTTTAATAACTTAATAACTCCCTCTATATCATCAAGATCTTTATATATTCTCCGGCGTGAGATTTGAACTTGATAACGAAAGTGTGCTCAGCATATGATAAAAACTTTTTAAAAAGATCAGTGGGTCATATATTAATCATATTAGATCTTGATCCAATTTTAAAAGAGCCTCTGAATGATTGAGACATTCGCCTTGAACTACTAGCTCAGTTAAATTTCATGTGATTCAAAAACTTGTCCCAATTGAAACAAACTAATGAGGACTACAGAAATGAAACGCATAGCAGTTCTTGCATGCATTAACTTAAAATTACTGTTTTTTTTTATTTCTGAAAACGAGACAGATCAAGTTTGCTCAAACCTGGCAATTGTACATAGCGTTAATTTTTCTAATGTCGGACTGGCTGAATCCATAGCGTTGGCCGAGGTAGGTGGTGGTTGCAAACTATAGGAAAGGAAAATAAATTAAAACGCAATAATTTAAGTAACGAAGAGATTGGGATTTTCCTCGATGCGAAAATTTTTTTAAATAAAAAACAAATGGCTCTACCAGTTTTGGTCACGAATAGGTTGGTAATTATATGTGTTTAGTTTTCAGATAAATGTGGTGTTTTTTTTTTTCAATTTTTCCGATTTTTTTTATATTCTTCTTGCTCATGAAATAGGGTCGCAAACCGTGACCAAAACTGGTAGAGCCGTTTTATCTTCGAATAAAAACAATTTTTGTAACGAGAAAAAGCCCATTTCAATGATCATCTCTGCGAGATTTTCTTCGATTGAAATAATTGATTAAATAATTCATTAACTATAGTTAATGAAAATCGCACCTTTGGCTCGATTGTTGGGTTTCCATTTGAGGAGAAAGACTTTGCCGAATAGTGCATCACACTGCCGTAGTCATAAGCCACCCCAAACGCTGTTGAACTCCGAATATTAAAGTTGGACTCGGTTCCTGTCAAGTTGTAAATTTTTTTCAATTTTTTTTCGTTTCACAAATTATTCTGTTTTTTGTAAAAGATTGATCACTCGCCTGATTGGATATTCTGCCACAAAATGTTCACGTAAGTGTCCCTGTCTGTGCGCGAGTGCTCGTGGAAAAAGCCAACGGTGTGCATCAACTCGTGGATAGCCGTTCCAACCTAATATGAAAATTCATTTTATTTTGTCCGGCGTAAACTGATCAAATTCTTATTTTCACACCATTGTCACGCAGCCGGGAATCTGCAAATTGACGTACTGAGCGCCGCCGATCCTTCCGACCGTCGCCCAGCACCCTGTATTGTCGCTCTTGATGATCAGGTGGTCGCGCTGGGTGCCGTTGTAAGGTTTGAACCTGATGCATGTGTTGGCGTGGTACGCGTTTATTGCTTGTTGGATCAAGTTAAGTTGATTCGCGTCTGCAAAAAAAAATGCCGATTGAAAAATTTGTGGTCAATTTAAAATTATAGTCCCAACCAAAGGTGCCCTGAATGGAGTAGTAAATCTCGGCATTTGGCCACCGATAGCTCGTGCTAATGATTCCGTTTCTTCCCTGATTAGTGGGCAGTGTAAGAATGTCACCTTCCAGGTACGCGCCGAGCTCCTCAGGGTTGACCCCAGAATCGGGATGCCAATTGTCTACTGCTGCGCCTGAAATCAAATATTTTTTTTTTAATTGGACATCAACGTTTGGACATTAATTAAAAATAATTTAACACAACAAATTTGAGCTACCTGCAGCCTTGATCAAATTCAAACCAGATTCAAACAATTTGAAAACTACCAAAAAAAAAATAATCTATAAAAAAATATATAATAATAATTTTGACTTACAAAATAGTTAATAGTTACGGCGCAAGTAAAATAAGTTAAGTTTCAAAATGGTCAATTTCAAAAGTTTTCAAATCAGTTTTAATCCTAGAAATTGCATTTAATCAAACATTAAATTCAGGTTGTTTTGTACAGATTGCTCGGCGATTCTGTAAGGGAAATTTGCCATAGAAAATTATTTTCTTTGAATTTGAGTCCTGCTCCACTCATATTTTGAGTCAATCCCATTTACAGACTTATTACGTAATTTTCAGAAATGGATTATTCAAAGTTTAAATTATTAATTAACAAATTTTTTTAAATTTTATTATTTTCATTTAAAATTTTATCAACGAAAAGCCTCCCTCAAATGTTAAAAATTTTTCGAAAAAAACATTGACATACAAATAGAAAGGAAAAAGAAAATTGAACAGCGACTTACCAACATTGAGGTCTGGTTTTCCAATACTCTGCGTTCTGATTCCTCTGATGACGGCCGCGTGCGCCTCGTCATTGTGCTCCTCAAACGGCTCCTGCTGCACAGGGCTGGCCAGAATCGCCGGCAAGAGAAGCGCAATGCACAAGTAAAGCTTATTCATTTCTGACTAGTGCGAGATATTGTGCAAAAACTTCTGTTTATATGAAGTCTAGAGTCGGAAGGAAAGGAAACACCGGCGTGTTATGGAAATAATATTTAATATAGCCTTTGTGGTCAGAAGTTATCTTACCTGCGTCGTGGGTGCGTGATGTGTGAGGCTGGCGAATTCGCGAGCTCCTTATTAAGCAATCCGGCGACCGCGTTTATCGCCTCAGCCGAGGATAATTAATTTTTATTAAAGCATTGCGATGATGTTTGCCGCCTTTATTGCAGCGCATCATATAGAAATGAGCGGCGTGCAGATTTTTATTTGAACAGGCCGCGAGTTACCAAATCTCTGTCGCACGCGCCCGCACCTGCGACGACATTTTTCCACGCGTCCCCGTAGATTTGTTTATTCAAAGATAACCCAACGAAAAAATACTGCATGCAAATTCATACTTTTTGCCACGGCCGTAAATAGCATAAACTTGGATTTTGTAATGATTTGCTTACTCGGAATAATAATTATTTAAATTAGAATTTAAAAATTAAAATAATATTTAGCCTGTAAAAAAATTGCTGACTAAAACTGTAGGGCTATTAAAGGTGGGGTGCCGGCAAGTGATTGTAAAACGCGTGACTCGATATTGGCCATGTTGGTGCAAGAAATCTGGCTGTAAAAAAGCTTGAGTTGTTTCAATTTTATGGCTCCAATGTATGTACAAGACAAAGATTATTGTGAGGTATGGCAAAATATTGAATAAAAAAGTTTACACAATATATAGCACCAGGAATTTAGTATTGGCTTATCAGAAATAATTAATGTTAAGTAATAAAGAACCTTTTAATCAAATCGCCAAAAAAATTTTATTTTTAATGATGAAATTTTGTGGATTTTTATAACGGACCAAAATTTTCTGCAATTCAAAAGCTTTTTGAAGCCAAAAAGCACAATAATTCCAATTAGTATCAGTCATAATTAATTATTTTCCCCTCTCTAAATTTTGCATAATTTTTTTTTTTTTAAACAAAACTTTCCAAGAACAAAATCATAATAAATTTTCCTGCCAGAACAAGGCTATTTGAACTATTGCATGAAGTAAAAAAAAAAAAAAACTTGGAAAAAGAGCTTTATTTTACGTACCTAATTCTTTAATAGTTGTTATTATGTCATAAAACATGACCCTCTACTATCTTGCTAAATTTTACAAGTGTCTAGGAAAAAGGAAACACTCGCTAATATAAATAAGTAGGTCATTAAGTCATCTTTTACCACCGCACTTGTACATACACTCAAGACAATTAAATTTTAAACACAAACCTTGATATATATTATCATTTTTTTTTTATTGTGAAACTCTGACCTGAAAATAATTTGGAACTGTTTGAGTTTGAATGTAAATTTTTTTGATCAATTTTGGTTTTTATTTTTTTTTCATTGCATTTATTTATAATTATTCCGAAACTAGGAAAACTGGCCCTGCTCGAGCAACTGGCCATTGGGTGCCCAATTAAAAAGACCTTCAGTAAAATGTGGGCCAATCTGCTTGTGCTGCTCCCCAACCTCAAGTTGGTCTCGACGCGCCCCCTTGTGTCCCGTCGATGGACACGGAGCTTCCCTTAGAAGTATCCAAATTGGCCTCTACGCCTAAGTCAACTTAAACTTGATCTTTCGAGCCCTTCCTTTGAGTCTTTTGACCCTGGAATGGTGCCTGCAGTCAAAACTCTGCTTCTTGTGTCATCCAGGACTGTTTTTCCTCTGGAAAGACGTTGCCGAAGTTGATAGCTCTCAAAAGCGTCAAAAATTTAGCAGTCCGAGGATCTGTCTGTCCAGAGGCATATTCTTAGAGCTGAATGGAGCCAATATTGAGATGCTGAAGGTCAGTTTTAACCTTAAAATTAATGTTGTTTTACACATTATTTTAATCTGTTTTAATAATTTGTTTTGAAAATGACAAGGTTATGGTTATTAAATTATTTGCAGCCAAGCAAGTCAATCATCCATTGCTGGATTTGACCCTCCCCAAATGCTGTAACTCATAATTGACTTTCTTGGAGAGAATTTATCATACAAAATAATAATAATGAATAAAAAAAATCATAAGAATTATGAAATTTTTGAGGAAAATAATCAATAAGCTTTAAATTAAAAATAATAATTAATCACAGAAATGTAGAAAATTGGGCTTGTCAAACAAAACAACGCTGTTTTGTTCAATTTTTGCAACGAGGACAAGCCCGATGTTCTTCATGTCCATGATCATCTCCTTGAGTGGCTTCTTCAAACAAATAATTAATCACAATGAATTTAACTAAAAATTTTTGGAAAACAAATATACTTTTTTCCCCAATTGTTTCATTTCATTCTTCACGTGCTAAAATTTTGTTGTCTTTTCTGGTAAATTATGGCATGTCGTTGTTCTGATTAATAATTTATTAAGAATTGAATTGAAGAATTTTTTTCGTACAAATGAGAAAGATATATTTTCTGGTGCCTTTTTCTAGTAAATGAGTGCTTCCCAAGAATACAAAATAAATGGAATAAAAAAAAGCTGAAAGGTAAATTTATTTATTTGTTTTATAAAATTAGTCATGATCGACGTTCTCTTGAACCGCGTTGAGATATCGCGCCTCACTACAGAAAGCCTTGCTGGAACAGCGAGGAAAGCGGAGGTGGTCGGAAAATAAACTATAATCTCTTCACGAAAATCACGTCGGCGCTTTTTTTAAACCAAATTGATCCATCATCGCGGCAGGCCCAAACGCCCAAACCTCGTTCAACAGGCCGTGCGTTCGAAAATCGCTATATTAGTGATTCCATCGAATTTTTTTCACAATTATTTGAAATTATTTCTCTTCCTCTCCTTCTCAAAATCAATACTGATTAAAATCATTCCCGTAATTGAAATAACTTCACCAATTTTTCTAAAGCTTTTTGAGAAGAGAAACTCCATCGTTGACGTTTTAGAATATCACTGATCAAAGATTTTTCATTTCCGGCAGCGGACCTTCAATAAGAAAATTGCCAATTGAAAAGGATTCTTTAACTTTAAATACATATATCATTGCTCAGTTAGTATAGTAACATTTTTTCAAATAGTTGCCAATGAAATTTTATTGATATATCACAGAGGCATTTGCTGCCCATATACATCGATCATAAATTCAAAGTTATTAAATTATATAGCAAACAATCAAACATCATGAAACAGGTCATCTTGCCTAAAAAAATACAAATTTTCTAATTTATATACGCCATGACCAATTTTCAATTTATCAAGATATTTAAATAATAAATTTTACAAATAATGGGATCTTATAAATTAAGTTTTCGTATTACGGAAATAATTTTCGAAAAAATTCTCAAATGAATTGTCGATGACATTACGATAGGTGCCTGCGGCTGGTCTTCTTCTGCAGGCAAAACACCATCTCAACGGCGATACATTTGCCAATTGGTTTTTATTCCTTCTTTCTTATCGTTGAAACCGTTTGCCCTTTTAAATCCACTCGTCCCCTTTTTTTCCTTTTTCAATCCATGCGTCTTTTCCTTATTTCGCTCTTGCGGCTGTTTACTTCCCCTTTCTTTCTTTTGCTTCATTTCTTTTCCATTGGAAACGTTTACCACTTTTTCTGGATTCTTTTCCCTTGCTACATTTCCCTCCGTTTTTATGTTCTTTTTTCCAACGTTTTTCTTTGCCTTTTTCTTCCTTTTCAACTTCATAATTTCCTTATCATTATCACTTATTTTGTTTTTATCCTCTTTTTTCATTATTTCATCTCCTGTTTCTCTTTCTTTCTTTTCTCTCTCTTTTCTTCTAACCTGAGCATATTTTTCTTGTTTCGCCACTGATACTTTCTTCTTGCTTACCCTCTCCTTCAGTCTTTTCACCACCTTTGTTACCAATTTCTCTTCACCCTTTCTTTCCACAGTTTCCACACCATTATTATTTTTCTGCTTCTTCTCTCCAATCTCTTTGTTTTCTTTATTGCCTTTCTCTGCCCCTTTTTGTCCAATTTCCACTTTTCCCTTTAGCAATTTTTTCGTTTTCTCCTTTTTCCTCTGTACCTCCAACGTTGCATTCTTAGGCTTCTTTTTCTCGTCATCATTTTTCAGTACACTCGTCTTCCCTCCCTTTTGCCTCTTCTTAATTTTATTTACCTCTTTTCGATTCTTATCTTTATACCCTGCTTCCTCATTGACAAACCCAGCATTTTTCTTCTTGATCACCTTCTTGATCTTTGAAACTTTCTTGCGCTTTTTCAAGCCATTTGCAGATTGTGGAGCCAAAATATTTTTGTAGCACCTGCTGAACAAGCTGTAATGTTTTTGGCATGTTCTGCTCACTACTATAAATATAAATTAAATTGTAATATCTGCTTTAAATGCTTATGTTTTTACCTTTGCTAGGACAACTCTGCATATGGAAATATTAATTTTAGTTAATTTCAAATATCATTAAGGAATGTATAATTACGTTGATTATCTCAAGGAGGACGCATTGCACAATAATGAACGCTTTTCCAGGGCAAGTGGATTTTGCCGTAATAAAGTTGGGCACATTTAATTCTAAAGATACTGAAGTTAATAAATTATTTAATAAAAAAATAAAATTTTTTACTTTCAACTGTTGGAATACAGGTGGATATCGCTGATGCGATTGTCGATCTCCACGTTCCATCGGTTTGCGAGGCAGTCAGTAAGTCGGTCAGCTTGATCTTATCAATAACGTAGTTTGGTGACATCTAACAACAAAGTTATAAAAAAAATAATTTCTTGCTACTGGTATGCAATATTTTCTTACGACTCCCTTTGAAATCAAGTAACAATTCACGAAGCACTAAAAAGTATAAATGATTATTAAAAAACGTCTGCAAACTTGAAGAAAACCTACTGCTTTCCTTCCAAAGGCCCTTTTGACCTTTTTGGTTTGAAACAGAATCGAGTTTGGCGGCGAGTTGTAGAAACGTTGCTTCTTATTCAGAGTGAAAATGTTGAACGATTTCAAGGCGCCTTTCGTCACCAGACAAGTTTTATCAAAAATGTTGAAAGGAACCAAAGTTTCTGGACGTTTAGAGCAGCAGCTAAACATCCCCTGCATAATTGTTATAGTTAAATATATACATATTAAAAGAAATTAAAAAAAAAAAAAAAAATACCACGTAACGCCTAGACATGCATTTTCTTGGTTGAAGTGCAGGAACCGTTACATATTGGACAGTTGTTGTGGTTGACATGGTAGAGGGCGAATTAGTTGTTGCGCTGATTGTAGAATCAACTGAACTTGCAATGGTGGTTGTTGCAGTTGCTGCAGTCGTCGGTATCAAATCAGAAGATGACGTTGTAATCATAGTTCTTAAAGTTTTGTGTGTGGTTGGAACTGTTGCTGTCATGATAAGCGCAGATGTGGTTGCTGTTGAGGAAATTGCTGTATTCATCACAGTTGTCTTTGTATTAGCTGGGGTTGTTGATGCTCTTGGTCCGCAAGTTGTTGTTGTTGTGGTTTTTTGTGGTTCATTTTTTGTTGTGGCCTTCGGTTTAAAAGTTGTTCTTGTGGATGATATAGTAGTCAGCTTCCCAGCAGTTGAGGTTGTAGGTGTCGTCAATGCAGTACGTTCTATAGGTGTTGTTGTTGTTTTTGCTTCATTTGATGGTGAGGTTGTTACCCTAGGTGTTGTAGATGAAATTGTGTGTGATGTATTTGCTGTTATTTCGTTAATTGTTGAGGTTGTGGAAGCTACAGTTTTTGGTTCATTTGTTAAGGGTGTCTCTTTTGTTAGCACTCTCGTTGATGTTGATCTTTTGGATGTTGCAGATGATGTTGTAAGAGCTGGAGTTGATGAATTGTTTTCAGCCCTAGTTGCTACAGTCAAAGTTATGGGGGATCTCTTTTCAGGTGGTGTTGATGTATTGGGGGCTGAATTCATGGTTGTGGTGTCTGCATTATTTGTTGGTGCTATAGACGATGTTGAAGGTACTACAATGATCGGTCCTATTGTACTTAATGTATTTGGTGTAGAAGTCAATGCTGAGCTTATTACGGTTGTTAGATCAGTAGTTGATAATGTGGTTCCTGCATTTGATGTTAAGGTAGAGATTCCTGAAGATTGAGTTGTCGATCCTGTATTTGACGAAGGAGTGGATAATTCAGTTAATCTTGTGGGTTCCACGGTAGAATTCTTCTTGGTTGTGGTTGCTACAGTCAATGTTGTAGTTGGTCCTGCAGTGATTGTAGGAGTTGAATCATTCAGTTCTGAAGTTGATGTTTGACTTTTTGATGCTGCAAATGTCGGTACTGCAAGAGCTGCAGTTGTCGATATGTCCGTTGTAATTGTGGTTAATTTAGCCACGGTAGTTAATACTTCAACTGATTTTGAAGTTGTGGATACTGCCGGTGAAGTGTTATTTGAAGATGCTGCAGTTGTTGGTGTTTTGTTTGTTGCTGTAATTATTTGTGCTTCAGTTTTTGTCGACGATGCAATTGGTGCTGAGGCTGAGTTTTCTGGAAATAGACTTGTTGATCCTGTGTTTAATGGTGGATTGGTTTCTTCGGTTAATCTTGATGCTTTTATAGTAGAATTCGTGATGGTGATTTCTGGTTTAGTTGTTCCTGCATCGGATGCTGTGGTTGCCTCAGCAGTCAATATTGTTGTTGAAAATGCGTTTGTTGGTCCTGCAGTAATCGTGTGAGTCAAATTATTTGGCTCTAAAGTTGATATCGGGCTTTTGGATGCAGTTGGTGTCGTGACAGCTGCGGCTGAAGTTGTGTCGGTTAATATTGTTGTAGTTATTCTAGCCACGGTAGTTGATGCTTTAACTGATGTGGAGATTGCGGATACTTTAGGTGTTGTGTTTCCAGGTTCTGAAGTTGTCTGCGCATAATTTGATATTGTTATGCCTGGTAGTTCAGTTGTTGAGGATGTTGCAATTGATGTTGTGGCTGAGTTTTCTGTTGATAGATTTGTTGATCCTGTGTTTAATGATAGGGTGGTTTCTTCGGTAAATCTTGAATTTTTTATAGTAGAATCCGTGGATGTGGGTTCTGGTTTTGTTGTTTCTGCATTGGATGTTTCGGTTGCCTCAGCAGTCAATATTGTTGTTGAAAACGCATTTGTTGGTCCTGCAGTAATCGTGTGAGTCAAATTATTTGGTTCTAAAGTTGATGTTGGGCTTTTGGATGCAGTTGGTGTCGTGACAGCTGCGGCTGAAGTTGTGTCGGTTAATATTGTTGTAGTTATTCTAGCCACGGTAGTTGATGCTTTAGCTGATGTGGAGATTGTGGATACTTTAGGTGTTGTGTTTCCAGGTTCTGAAGTTGTCTGCGCATAATTTGATATTGTTATGCTTGGTACTTCAGTTGTTGAGGATGTTGAAATTGATATTGTGGCTGAGTTTTCTGGAGATAGACGTGTTGATCCTGTGTTTAATGATAGGGTGGTTTCTTCGGTAAATCTTGAGTTTTTTATAGTAGAATCCGTGGATGTGGGTTCTGGTTTTGTTGTTCCTGCATCGGATGTTGTGGTTGCCTCAGCAGTTAATATTGAAGTTGAAAATGCATTTGTTGGTCCTGCGGTAATCGTGTGAGTCGAATAATTTGGTTCTAATGTTGCTGTCGGGCTTTTGGATGCAGTTGGTGTCGTGACAGCTGCGGCTGAAGTTGCGTCGGTTAATGTTGTTGTAGTTATTCTAGCCACGGTAGTTGATGTTGAGATTGCGGATATTGCAGATGTTGTGTTTCCAGGTTCTGAAGTTGTCTGCGCATAATTTGATGTTGTTATGCTTGGTACTTCCGTTGTTGTAGACGTTGAGTATGTTAACGTAGAGAGTGCAGAAGTGGGCGCTGTAGTTGATAATGTTGCGTGTGCAGCTAAAGATGTTGTTACTTCTGTGGTTTTCACAGCTGAAGATGCCGTCGATGTGTCAATTGATATTGTGGTTAATGAAGCCACGGGTGTTGAAGCTTCAACGATTGATGTTGAGGTTGCGGAGATTCTGGGTGTTGTATTCAAAGGTAATACTGTACTCGTCGTTACTGCAGTAGTTGATGCTACTGCGGTTGATGATATGGAGGCCACTGAAATTTTTAGCCGTACTTTAATAAAACAATAAATTATAGATCTCGCTATATTAAAATTAAATCTAAATTTTAATTATAGATTATTTGTTTTCTTTTACACTAATTGTTCTCTATACGAGTTTAAATCAAAAACATATAATCATATAAATAACATTTAAACGCGTATTATTATGGAAAATATATTGACCGTTTTAGAAGACTGAAGTTATTTTAGAAACTCCTCAAAAGGATTTTAACGTTCTCAATAATTTTAGCTCTTTAGGAGATGGATTTAATCTTACGTGAGATTTTTCCTGTAATCCAGGTTCGAAAGGAAGCGATTCGCGAGAAGAGTACGGGCTTCCCTAAACACGGGTTCCCATTAATATTTATGGTGATGCCAATTTGCACAGTAGAGTTGCTAGCATCGACGTACACCAGTGGATCGCCCACTTCACGTATCTAAACGGAACGAGTAAATATTATACATTTATTGGAAATATTCATCTTTTTATTGAAATATAATTAAATTTCTTCTCGTAAAAATCAATAATCAAAAACTGAACCGACCCAACAAAGCCCCGTTGAGATGGTTGGGTATTTAGCGCAGAGGTTCGAAGTGGTATAAAGTCCACCACCAACATTTGATGTACACTGAGATCCGTCGTTGACAAGCATTTGAGCAAACTGCATGGTCGCACCTGCCAAAATGGAAAATGTTAAATTTATAAAAAAATATCACTTTTAAAAATTAATTCTTGCTCGTTCGCGTGCTTTAAAATGCATAGGAAATTAATGTGTGCAGATTGAAAATATATTGGATGAGTATATTTTATTTATTCAAACCTCCATTGTTGTTCCCTTCAAATCCCATGATCGTGGCTAGTGTGCCGTCAAAATTGTTCCCGGCTTCAGTGGCAGGCGCGAGGGTCGCCAGCTTAATATTGGCTGCAATAATCAATTATTAGCATAATAAGAATAAAAGATTTAAATAATTTCTCTTTCACGTGTCAAGGTGACAGGGGGTATTTGAATGAGCGCCATGTCGTTTTGGAAGGTGTTGGCGTCCCACAGCTCGTGGATGATGGTACTGATGGCGTTGACGGTGACGGCACCCGTTGAGTATGGCGTCGACCCCTCCACGTTGCCGAGCACCACCTGGTGAGAGGTGGCAGTGCGCCTGTACCAAATAATTGCATTTCAGCCGTCGAGAAAAAATTAAATAGGCACACCGGCAAATTATTTCATTCTTGAAGGTTGAAGGTGAATATTTGGTTGGGGGTTAATTTATTACTGTTCAGAAGTAGAATATCCGAATTTGTGATACATAAAAATTTTATAAAACCTAGATTTTGTACAAAGCTTTATTTGGGGGGTTTCAAATATTTTGATCACAATATCTAGTCTAAAATCATGAAATTTGGAATTTTGTCGGATTCATGAATAAAAAAAATGTGATTTTTTCCCTCTATTTAATTGTTACCCTATGCATTCGGCCGCCGTCAGGACCCACTGGGTGGTGATCAACGAGCCTCCGCACTTGGTGCTCGCGTAAATGACGGTGGCGAAAAACGGGAACTGCGTCACGGTGGCGTCGGTCCCGCCGACGATCAGGCGAGAAATCAATTCAGACCGCTCCACCCCTGCCAATCAAAAATTTCAGTTTCGTTCGATATATTTTGCTTTTAATTCAACGCGTACTATTTTTTAAATGCCACGCACCATCGTTCGAGTCATTTCGGTTGCGCCACCTCGACGACAAATCGAAAGTCATGACCTATGATCAGAAAAATGGAAGAGTTCGTAATAAATTATTCGGCGAAAAAACCCGACTAGATTGAACTATCAAACACAATGAGACTGAATTTTGCACCACCAATTTGGTAATTTCGTTGAGATTGCAGCATGAATTCAGGACTAAATTCTAAAAATCATATTTCAAATGTCACCCAATCTAGAAAAAACTATCAAAAGAAAACAGTGATTGCTTTTCCAATCAGTGGAAAATAGCAGATTTAAGGCAGTAGACAATTAATTATATAGATCCAAAAAGTTAAATTGAGAATGCAACGATATAAGTTTAATGTTCTTGAAATTTCAGCACAATATGTATATAGAGCAAAATCATATTTCAGCTAACTTAGTGTTTCAACTTTTACAAATTTTGAAAAGAAATTACATAAATACCTGCAACGGGAAGACCAGCAGAAAGTGGACGAGAAACGTCATGATTACAAAAGTGAGACCAGAGCTGACAATGAGAGAGCGATTTCTCGAGGCTCCTTTTATATCTTGTAATCGGGACAATATAAATAAATTGCAAATTCCACGGCGTAATGCAGGAAAATAAGTTAGTGAAAATTTATCACTATAGAAATTCCAGAACGTCGCGGGGAAATTTTAAAGTGTAATTTTAGGTTTGAAATTCCAGAACGCCGTGGAGAAATTTTTAAGTGCGATTTTATCTTTTTGAAATTCCTCAACGTGTTTTTCAGAGCCTTTTAAGTGAAATTTTATCTTTTCACAAGCTTTATTTTTACTTTTTTTTTAAGTATCTCGTGGAGTAAGAATCTAAAATTGCGCTTAATTTTCTTGATATTGAAAGTTTTAGTACTTTTGCTCTGTTTTTATGAACGAAAAATGTGATTGTATAAAGGATAAGCTGACAAAATAAAAAGATGTGATATTTTGAGGCCGCAGCAGAAAAATCTCCATGGTTTGTCTGAGCATACGTGTTGGTTTCATCTGCTTCAGTGAAAAATGTTGCATAAATATTCAACCACATTTATTCAATGTTACAATTCAAATTAAAAAATAATAAATTCTAAATTCAGCTCTTTCTTCAAAGGATATTATATCAAACAATTTTGCAGTTTTGGTTTGCTTATTATTCCAGCAATTCGTTATACATATTAATTGCTAGTTGTGCGCAGAGAAAAAAGTAAAATAGAAAGAAAAAAATTTATAAATCTTATCATGTTTGAATCAGTTTGACTCTTTTGATTTGTAATGCCAGACGTGAAGTGCGAGAAGTAGTCCTTATACGTTATAATTTATTTATTAGTCGATAAATTTAAAAATGCCAGACGTGAAGTGTACGAATTAGTCCTTAGACGTTAAAATTTATTTATTAGTCGATAAATTTAAAAATGCCAGACGCGAAGTGTACAAATTAGTCCTTAGACGTTATAATTTATTTATTAGTCGATAAATTTAAAAATGCCAGACGTGAAGTGTACGAATTAGTCCTTAGACGTTATAATTTATTTATTAGTCGATAAATTTAAAAATGCCAGACGTGAAGTGTACGAATTAGTCCTTAGACGTTAAAATTTATTTATTAGTCGATAAATTTAAAAATGCCAGACGTGAAGTGTACGAATTAGTCCTTAGACGTTAAAATTTATTTATTAGTCGATAAATTTAAAAATGCCAGACGTGAAGTGTACGAATTAGTCCTTAGACGTTAAAATTTATTTATTAGTCGATAAATTTAAAAATGCCAGACGCGAAGTGTACAAATTAGTCCTTAGACGTTATAATTTATTTATTAGTCGATAAATTTAAAAATGCCAGACGTGAAGTGTACGAATTAGTCCTTAGACGTTATAATTTATTTATTAGTCGATAAATTTAAAAATGCCAGACGTGAAGTGTACGAATTAGTCCTTAGACGTTATAATTTATTTATCAGTCGATAAATTTAAAAATGCCAGACGAGAAGTGTACGAATTAGTCCTTAGACGTTAAAATTTATTTATTAGTCGATAAATTAAAAAATGCCAGACGTGAAGTGTACGAATTAGTCCTTAGACGTTATAATTTATTTATTAGTCGATAAATTAAAAAATGCCAGACGTGAAGTGTACGAATTAGTCCTTAGACGTTATAATTTATTTATTAGTCGATAAATTTAAAAATGCCAGACGTGAAGTGTACGAATTAGTCCTTAGACGTTATAATTTATTTATAAGTCGATAAATTTAAAAATGCCAGACGTGAAGTGTACGAATTAGTCCTTAGACGTTAAAATTTATTTATTAGTCGATAAATTTAAAAATGCCAGACGTGAAGTGTACGAATTAGTCCTTAGACGTTAAAATTTATTTATTAGTCGATAAATTGAAAAATGCCAGACGCGAAGTGTACAAATTAGTCCTTAGACGTTATAATTTATTTATTAGTCGATAAATTTAAAAATGCCAGACGTGAAGTGTACGAATTAGTCCTTAGACGTTATAATTTATTTATTAGTCGATAAATTTAAAAATGCCAGACGTGAAGTGTACGAATTAGTCCTTAGACGTTAAAATTTATTTATTAGTCGATAAATTTAAAAATGCCAGACGTGAAGTGTACGAATTAGTCCTTAGACGTTAAAATTTATTTATTAGTCGATAAATTTAAAAATGCCAGACGTGAAGTGTACGAATTAGTCCTTAGACGTTATAATTTATTTATTAGTCGATAAATTTAAAAATGCCAGACGTGAAGTGTACGAATTAGTCCTTAGACGTTATAATTTATTTATTAGTCGATAAATTTAAAAATGCCAGACGTGAAGTGTACGAATTAGTCCTTAGACGTTAAAATTTATTTATCAGTCGATAAATTTAAAAATGCCAGACGAGAAGTGTACGAATTAGTCCTTAGACGTTAAAATTTATTTATTAGTCGATAAATTAAAAAATGCCAGACGTGAAGTGTACGAATTAGTCCTTAGACGTTATAATTTATTTATTAGTCGATAAATTAAAAAATGCCAGACGTGAAGTGTACGAATTAGTCCTTAGACGTTATAATTTATTTATAAGTCGATAAATTTAAAAATGCCAGACGTGAAGTGTACGAATTAGTCCTTAGACGTTAAAATTTATTTATTAGTCGATAAATTTAAAAATGCCAGACGTGAAGTGTACGAATTAGTCCTTAGACGTTAAAATTTATTTATTAGTCGATAAATTTAAAAATGCTAGACGTGAAGTGTACGAATTAGTCCTTAGACGTTATAATTTATTTATTAGTCGATAAATTTAAAAATGCCAGACGTGAAGTGTACGAATTAGTCCTTAGGCGTTAAAATTTATTTATTAGTCGATAAATTAAAAAATGCCAGACGTGAAGTGTACGAATTAGTCCTTAGACGTTATAATTTATTTATAAGTCGATCAATTTAAAAATGCCAAATAATAATTATTATTAAGTAGATGAATTTAAAAATAAAAATGTGGCGGCCGCGAAGTAGTCCATAAGACCTAATAATTATTTTTTAGTAGATGAATTTAAGAATAAAAATGTGGCGGCCGCGAAGTAGTCCATCAGACCAAATAATTATTTTTAGTAGATGAATTTAAAAATAAAAATGTGGCGGCCGCGAAGTAGTCCATAAGACCTAATAATTATTTTTTAGTAGATGAATTTAAGAATAAAAATGTGGCGGCCGCGAAGTAGTCCATCAGACCTAATAATTATTTTTAGTAGATGAATTTAAAAATAAAAATGTGGCGGCCGCGAAGTAGTCCATAAGACCTAATAATTATTTTTTAGTAGATGAATTTAAGAATAAAAATGTGGCGGCCGGGAAGTAGTCCATAAGACCTAATAATTTTTTTTTAGTAGATGAATTGAAAAATAAAAATGTGGCGGCCGCGAAGTAGTCCATCAGACCTAATAATTATTTTTTAGTAGATGAATTTAAAAATAAAAATGTGGCGGCCGCGAAGTAGTCCATAAGACCTAATAATTATTTTTTAGTAGATGAATTTAAAAATAAAAATGTGGCGGCCGCGAAGTAGTCCATAAGACCTAATAATTTTTTTTTAGTAGATGAATTGAAAAATAAAAATGTGGCGGCCGCGAAGTAGTCCATCAGACCTAATAATTATTTTTTAGTAGATGAATTTAAAAATAAAAATGTGGCGGCCGCGAAGTAGTCCATAAGACCTAATAATTATTTTTTAGTAGATGAATTTAAAAATAAAAATGTGGCGGCCGCGAAGTAGTCCATAAGACCTAATAATTATTTTTTAGTAGATGAATTTAAAAATAAAAATGTGGCGGCCGCGAAGTAGTCCATAAGACCTAATAATTATTTTTAGTAGATGAATTTAAAAATAAAAATGTGGCGGCCGCGAAGTAGTCCATAAGACCTAATAATTATTTTTTAGTAGATGAATTTAAAAATAAAAATGTGGCGGCCGCGAAGTAGTCCATAAGACCTAATAATTATTTTTTAGTACATGAATTTAAAAATAAAAATGTGGCGGCCGCGAAGTAGTCCATAAGACCTAATAATTATTTTTTAGTAGATGAATTTAAAAATAAAAATGTGGCGGCCGCGAAGTAGTCCATAAGACCTAATAATTATTTTTTAGTAGATGAATTTAAAAATAAAAATGTGGCGGCCGCGAAGTAGTCCATAAGACCTAATAATTATTTTTTAGTAGATGAATTTAAAAATAAAAATGTGGCGGCCGCGAAGTAGTCCATAAGACCTAATAATTATTTTTTAGTACATGAATTTAAAAATAAAAATGTGGCGGCCGCGAAGTAGTCCATAAGACCTAATAATTATTTTTTAGTACATGAATTTAAAAATAAAAATGTGGCGGCCGCGAAGTAGTCCATAAGACCTAATAATTATTTTTAGTAGATGAATTTAAAAATAAAAATGTGGCGGCCGCGAAGTAGTCCATAAGACCTAATAATTATTTTTTAGTAGATGAATTTAAAAATAAAAATGTGGCGGCCGCGAAGTAGTCCATAAGACCTAATAATTATTTTTTAGTAGATGAATTTAAAAATAAAAATGTGGCGGCCGCGAAGTAGTCCATAAGACCTAATAATTATTTTTTAGTAGATGAATTTAAAAATAAAAATGTGGCGGCCGCGAAGTAGTCCATAAGACCTAATAATTATTTTTTAGTAGATGAATTTAAAAATAAAAATGTGGCGGCCGCGAAGTAGTCCATAAGACCTAATAATTATTTTTTAGTAGATGAATTTAAAAATAAAAATGTGGCGGCCGCGAAGTAGTCCATAAGACCTAATAATTATTTTTTAGTACATGAATTTAAAAATAAAAATGTGGCGGCCGCGAAGTAGTCCATAAGACCTAATAATTATTTTTAGTAGATGAATTTAAAAATAAAAATGTGGCGGCCGCGAAGTAGTCCATAAGACCTAATAATTATTTTTTAGTAGATGAATTTAAAAATAAAAATGTGGCGGCCGCGAAGTAGTCCATAAGACCTAATAATTATTTTTTAGTAGATGAATTTAAAAATAAAAATGTGGCGGCCGCGAAGTAGTCCATCAGACCTAATAATTATTTTTTAGTAGATGAATTTAAAAATAAAAATGTGGCGGCCGCGAAGTAGTCCATAAGACCTAATAATTATTTTTTAGTAGATGAATTTAAAAATAAAAATGTGGCGGCCGCGAAGTAGTCCATAAGACCTAATAATTATTTTTTAGTACATGAATTTAAAAATAAAAATGTGGCGGCCGCGAAGTAGTCCATAAGACCTAATAATTATTTTTTAGTAGATGAATTTAAAAATAAAAATGTGGCGGCCGCGAAGTAGTCCATAAGACCTAATAATTATTTTTTAGTAGATGAATTTAAAAATAAAAATGTGGCGGCCGCGAAGTAGTCCATAAGACCTAATAATTATTTTTTAGTACATGAATTTAAAAATAAAAATGTGGCGGCCGCGAAGTAGTCCATAAGACCTAATAATTATTTTTTAGTAGATGAATTTAAAAATAAAAATGTGGCGGCCGCGAAGTAGTCCATAAGACCTAATAATTATTTTTTAGTACATGAATTTAAAAATAAAAATGTGGCGGCCGCGAAGTAGTCCATAAGACCTAATAATTATTTTTTAGTAGATGAATTTAAAAATAAAAATGTGGCGGCCGCGAAGTAGTCCATAAGACCTAATAATTATTTTTTAGTAGATGAATTTAAAAATAAAAATGTGGCGGCCGCGAAGTAGTCCATAAGACCTAATAATTATTTTTTAGTAGATGAATTTAAAAATAAAAATGTGGCGGCCGCGAAGTAGTCCATAAGACCTAATAATTATTTTTTAGTACATGAATTTAAAAATAAAAATGTGGCGGCCGCGAAGTAGTCCATAAGACCTAATAATTATTTTTAGTAGATGAATTTAAAAATAAAAATGTGGCGGCCGCGAAGTAGTCCATAAGACCTAATAATTATTTTTTAGTAGATGAATTTAAAAATAAAAATGTGGCGGCCGCGAAGTAGTCCATAAGACCTAATAATTATTTTTTAGTACATGAATTTAAAAATAAAAATGTGGCGGCCGCGAAGTAGTCCATCAGACCTAATAATTATTTTTTAGTAGATGAATTTAAAAATAAAAATGTGGCGGCCGCGAAGTAGTCCATAAGACCTAATAATTATTTTTTAGTAGATGAATTTAAAAATAAAAATGTGGCGGCCGCGAAGTAGTCCATAAGACCTAATAATTATTTTTTAGTACATGAATTTAAAAATAAAAATGTGGCGGCCGCGAAGTAGTCCATAAGACCTAATAATTATTTTTAGTAGATGAATTTAAAAATAAAAATGTGGCGGCCGCGAAGTAGTCCATAAGACCTAATAATTATTTTTTAGTAGATGAATTTAAAAATAAAAATGTGGCGGCCGCGAAGTAGTCCATAAGACCTAATAATTATTTTTTAGTACATGAATTTAAAAATAAAAATGTGGCGGCCGCGAAGTAGTCCATCAGACCTAATAATTATTTTTTAGTAGATGAATTTAAAAATAAAAATGTGGCGGCCGCGAAGTAGTCCATAAGACCTAATAATTATTTTTTAGTACATGAATTTAAAAATAAAAATGTGGCGGCCGCGAAGTAGTCCATAAGACCTAATAATTATTTTTTAGTAGATGAATTTAAAAATAAAAATGTGGCGGCCGCGAAGTAGTCCATAAGACCTAATAATTATTTTTTAGTACATGAATTTAAAAATAAAAATGTGGCGGCCGCGAAGTAGTCCATCAGACCTAATAATTATTTTTTAGTAGATGAATTTAAAAATAAAAATGTGGCGGCCGCGAAGTAGTCCATAAGACCTAATAATTATTTTTTAGTACATGAATTTAAAAATAAAAATGTGGCGGCCGCGAAGTAGTCCATCAGACCTAATAATTATTTTTTAGTAGATGAATTTAAAAATAAAAATGTGGCGGCCGCGAAGTAGTCCATAAGACCTAATAATTATTTTTAGTAGATGAATTTAAAAATAAAAATGTGGCGGCCGCGAAGTAGTCCATAAGACCTAATAATTATTTTTTAGTAGATGAATTTAAAAATAAAAATGTGGCGGCCGCGAAGTAGTCCATAAGACCTAATAATTATTTTTTAGTACATGAATTTAAAAATAAAAATGTGGCGGCCGCGAAGTAGTCCATAAGACCTAATAATTATTTTTTAGTAGATGAATTTAAAAATAAAAATGTGGCGGCCGCGAAGTAGTCCATAAGACCTAATAATTATTTTTTAGTACATGAATTTAAAAATAAAAATGTGGCGGCCGCGAAGTAGTCCATAAGACCTAATAATTATTTTTTAGTAGATGAATTTAAAAATAAAAATGTGGCGGCCGCGAAGTAGTCCATAAGACCTAATAATTATTTTTTAGTAGATGAATTTAAAAATAAAAATGTGGCGGCCGCGAAGTAGTCCATAAGACCTAATAATTATTTTTTAGTACATGAATTTAAAAATAAAAATGTGGCGGCCGCGAAGTAGTCCATAAGACCTAATAATTATTTTTAGTAGATGAATTTAAAAATAAAAATGTGGCGGCCGCGAAGTAGTCCATAAGACCTAATAATTATTTTTTAGTAGATGAATTTAAAAATAAAAATGTGGCGGCCGCGAAGTAGTCCATAAGACCTAATAATTATTTTTTAGTAGATGAATTTAAAAATAAAAATGTGGCGGCCGCGAAGTAGTCCATAAGACCTAATAATTATTTTTTAGTACATGAATTTAAAAATAAAAATGTGGCGGCCGCGAAGTAGTCCATAGACCTAAAAAAATTATTTGGTTGAAAAATTTGAAAATCAAGAATATGATGCTGCGGAATAGTTCTTTGACCTAATAATGCTTTTTATTCTTTGTCTAGTCGAACGGTCTTTTATATTTTAATAATGAAAGATCAGATCCTTGGCCTAGCCTTCAATAATAATAATATATTTATTGTTGTAAAATTGCACCTCTCTCCCTCTGGCCCTTTCAACTTTTGATTTGCCCCCCCCCCCCCTTTCATCCAATGCTATTCTCCTTGGTTATTCAGTGACCAAAGACCAAAATTGTGACTGGGCCAGAATTGCAACTCTTTTATATACCAACATAACACAAAATCAGTAGCTGCACAAGTGGCACCTTTGTTGGGGGTGTAACCAGAGTGGACATTAGTTTGTTGACTTGAGACAAACTTGAGACTTGAAGAAGTCCCAAGTAGTTCTAGTTTTTTGTCTCTTGAGCTGCAAATTTTACCGAATTTTACATCATTTTTGTGTTCCTACAAATATATTTCTATGAGAATGATATCTATTCTATAATCGGAATAATATTTTTAAACTTACAACATGGTACGTTGGTTTTTTTTTTTAAATTTTTTAAATGTCACAATTGCATTCGGAATTTAAAAAAATTTGCACATTAAAAGCCTCTCTGTATTTCAGTCAAAGCAAATTGTGAGACCAACATTTTTTAGCCGCATCCGCGAGGCTCAAAAGGCAAAATTGACGAGTTTCGGTTCTCGCTTGAGAGAAAGGTTCTCGTACAAGCTGCCGGACAAATACAAAGACACCTGGGTCGACCGACTGGTCACTTATTGGCAGAGTTTGCTTCGAGACTATCGAGAGGCAGGTCTTGACACCCTGAAGGACATTCGAGAGCGGCCCTTGAAGGCGTCTGTGTACGGAACTGCCCTCGGTACTGCTTATCTCTGCGCCAAAAGGAACCCAGACGAAGTTTGTTTAAAAATATAAATAAAAAAATTGCAAGTTTCATTTAAATCAACAATATTCCAGATCAGCTATAGGCAGCGTTTGATTGAAGCCCAAAACGATGTTGCCTTCACATGTCCGAGCATCCAGAACAAGAGGACGATTTCCTATTTGAAACACCTGGAGCAATTCGGAAACCAGGGTGTTGTGCGATACTTCAGTTTTGGCATCTTTTCAATTGTATGGTTTGACAACTATGCCAAGTGCTTGGGACTTTACGAGGCAAGATGTGATTATCTGAAACCCACCTATTTAGAAATTTGCAAGAGCAGAATTGTGGATGTGGGATTTTGGAACAAGTGGTGGCTGCTGGATAAAAATATGGTTGATTTCGATGTAAACGAAGATGAATGGTCCCAGCCAAATTAGTTTAACAGGGATGAATTATTAGAAAAACGAATAATAGTAACTGAAATGAATTAAAAGTTATTACTGCGGTTTATTTGTTTCGTGCTTTGATTTACAAGATAATTAAGAAAATAAGAACAAAAAAATTAGTAATCTGCTGCAGTGTTGGCCAAATAATCTCTTCGTCCAATGTTGGACGCCTGCTTGCTCTGAATGGCCTCCAGCTTGGGGCAGTTTGTGATCCTGTGGCCAAGACCGCCGCAGTAGCTGCAGCCTCGTTCGTCTAAAATTCAAACAAAAAGTTCCATTTTAAAGATAAAAATTTAAATATATCAAGAATTTTACCTCCGAGATCCAGGTACTTTTCGTTCTCGGACTGCATCGTAGCCAGGAACAAGGGCACCCTTTGCTTGGCCTCGATTAACAAGTGCTTGAGATCAAGAAGGACGGACTCATCATTCGACTTGTTGATGAAGGTCGTGGCAATGCCAGTTTTGTCCGATCTGCCTGTACGACCAATTCTGTGGACTGTGAAAGAAGATAATTGTAAGAGTGGAGGTTTTCATAGTCGCAAGCTAACCATAATTTTCAACGTCATCTGGCATGTCGTAGTTGATGACATGTTGAACATCGGCAAAGTCGAGACCCTTCGAGGCAACGTCCGTTGCCACCAGCACGTCCTTGCTACCCTTTCTGAATGCGTCCACTGATCTCGACCTTTCCTCTTGGTCTAAATTTTATTTATTAGCACAATCTTCCTATAAAAAATTGATTTACAAAACCTTTTCCACCGTGGATAGCCACAGCTTCAACACCTTTGAGCAAAAGGTACTCGTGGATTGCGTCCACATCCTGTTTCTTCTCGGCAAAAATCAACACCGGTGGCGGTGTTTTCTGCAGACACTCGAGCAGATACACGATTTTGGCTTCCTGCTTCACATATTCAACCTCCTAAAAGTCGTTAATTGTAAAACTTTGAGACTAAAATATTTATTAGAAAAACTTGCCTGAATGACATTCAAAGAGGCGGCGCCTGCTCTGCCCACATTTATGGTGACAGGCTTTACCAAAGCTGACCTGGCGAAGTTCTGGATTTTCTTCGGCATGGTGGCAGAAAAGAGCAGGGTTTGCCTTTGACCCTGTGAAGTTTGCGATTTAGATGGCTCACTTTGGAAATGCTCCTCATTTTTACCTTGAAAAAAGAGAAAATGGTTCGAACATCCTCCTCGAAACCCATGTCGATCATTCTGTCAGCCTCGTCCATGACCAAGTAGCGGCACATGTCCAGGCGCACAATCTTCTTGTCCAACATGTCCATCAGCCGCCCAGGGGTGGCCACCATGATGTGAACGCCTCTGTAAAGGAGGAGTGTTTATTTATCTTAATTTTATTCATTTTTTGTTATTACTTTGCGATAACGTCAGCAGACTCCGAGACTGGAACTCCACCAATTGAGAGGCAGCTCCTAATTTCAGGCATTCCGAATCTTTTCAGGAACTCTGTGAAGTGCTGGATGATGTCAAACGTCTGCTTAGCCAACTCACGAGATGGACAGATAATCAGTCCTGCAGTTTATCAAATGATGAATGCTTAAGACGGAAATGAAATCAATTTTACCATAAGGTCCCTCATTTCTAACAAAAGGCAGGGCTGTTTCTTGTTCAAGACAGAACATTATCAACGGCAAGACAAAGACCAGCGTTTTTCCACTTCCAGTAAAGGCGATTCCGATCATATCACGGCCGTACAGTCTGTAATTTATTATTTGATGATTTCATAATCTCAAAATTTTCTTAAAATTTAATTACACTGTGGGAATTCCTTGTACTTGGATCGGGGTTGGCTTTATGATTTTCTTTTCGTCCAAAGCGGCTAGTACAGCTTTTGGGAATTTCATTTCTCTGAAAGTCTTTACAGGTGGCGGAATGTCTTCACCCTCGACTAAAATTCTCCACTTTCGTCTCAACCTTTCAAAATAAGCAGGCGACTTTGCCAAAATGTATCGAGGAGCCTTCCAGCTTTAAATTAAATATATATTATTGAAATTATAATAATTATTCAGTTTCTTATTCAGCATCACACCTAGTTTTGATGGGATCCTCGTACTGAATACCCTTGGCCAATTCAGCAACACCCATCAGAGCTTTTCGCTCGGCCACACTTTCCAAAATTTTCTCCTCCTCTTTCAGTTGCTTCTCCATTGCACTCTCTTTCTTGGCTGAAAAAAAATGTTAAATTCATAATTAAATCTTGAATTGCTGAATCTATGACAAGAAATTTATGTAATTTCAGTTTTTTCATACCTTCAGCCAATTTTTTCAGTTCAGTGTGCTGGTCCAGAAGACTAATATTTGACTTGCGGCCCCACACCTGTCCCTCGTCCTCTTCATCATTGTCCATTTCACATTCACTCGAAGACTTTGTCTTCTTCCCTTCGTCCTTCAGCTGTGTAAGCCGGCCCAGCTTAGCATAAGTCTGTTTGAGTCTTTCTTTGACGGGTACGTACGGAACGTAATTATCATCATCTGAAGACCTCTGATCTTCCTCTTCTTCGCGACGATAACGCTGTGGAAAGGCAAAAATTCTTCAGGTAAAAAATTATGCAAAAGCCTTCAAAAATGTTACCTTTCTGTTCAACATTTCCCGCGCGTCTTCAACTGTCGCTCGACCCATTTTTCGATTAATTATATGCCTTGTGTCTTCCATATTATTTCTGCGCATTACGTGTCTGTCCGCAAAGTCATCAATCTTGAAAAATCACGAGAAAATGTAAAGATTATGAAGAGAAATTAAATGGTGACCGAAGCGGTGTTTAGGGGGGCGTGGCAACAGAAAAAACATCAGGGGGGTGTGGCTCGGCACTGTTTTTCCCTGATTCAATTTTCGTCCTCGCTGCTTCAAGAATTTTGCTAGGAAATCTGAAAGTTTAAGAAAGTTTTAAGAATTCAGCGACATTTGTAAAAATGCGGCTAACACTTGTGCTCCACAAGCAACACTTGCGCCGTTTGTTCATCCGAAAGTGGTTTGTCCACGGCAGGAACAACAGAGTGCCGATGGAAACGTACGCCGAGTCCACCTTGTCGGCCCTCGGCATCAAAGTTGTCGATTCGTTGGATGTGATAGACGAAAAGAAAACACCGCCAGTACCACCGGGAAGGTGTGTTTCCCAATTTTAATTAATTCAATCATTGTTAAAATACATTTATGTAATTTATCATTTCAGCGTCAAAGTCATCGGCATGCTAGATCCGCCAGTTCCTTTGGGCGAGAACCACCCTTTGTATCACCAGAGACCGAGCTATTTATACGACGAGCACAGTATTTTGGTGGAGGGTCTGCCTCAGGCTCAGAACCTCACCAACACAGTGATCCTGGAGAAAGGGCTTCCGCCACAGATCGAGGAGTTGGCCAAAGAGAATGAAAGTTTGCTGCCCGAGGAATGCCACGAAGAAGTGAAGAAGTTTGAGATGGAATTTTCAATTTGATTGGAGACTTATATTGAATTTTTTTTCCTCCAGGAGCATTTTAAGAAGTTTTCTATTCGATGCAGTCCAGGAAAAAATGCCAAAGTACATAAATCCCGAAAGGCCTTGCTATAACTATCCTCCAACATTTGGTGTTCCTGATTACAGAAGAAAGTAAATTGTTCATTCAGTAAATTTTAACCTTTTGGTTGATTTGTTTTGCATTTTCAGCCGCCTTTTGAGTGATAATCTGCTCTTGATATGCGATTCTCTCTCATCCGAGCCTCACGGGCAGGTAGTTCGTGGTGCAAAATTGCGAACACTTCTGGACATAAATGACAAACTTGTCAGATTTGACATCAGTCCAGGAATCCTTCTTTGTGGCAAAAACCCACTAAGTCCCTACACAGATGCGGCGCGCACCGAGAATCTGGACTTGCCGAATATTTCGCCACTGAACTGTTTCGTGTCTCTACCAAAGGACCATTTCTATGATGACACAGAAATTATCAGTAGTTTTTTTTTCTTTAGAATACTTTTCGGAAATTAATCAACAAAACCTTTAGATGTTCCGCCAGCAAAATTTGTCCACACTGCAATTTTTCACTTCAACGACACCAAACACGTAAATCTGACAGAGATTCCCGTCAACGAAAACCAAATTCAAGGCAGGACCCTGGCCAACTCCTTCATAGTTGCAGCTGCCGAAGCAAAGCAAAAGCTGGAGGTAGGAAATAAAAAATAAACGAACAAATTAAAATGCAATCTGGAATTTTCAGAAACCTTCTGGTGAATTGTCCAAGCCACTGACGATTCAAGGCATCCACACGAATGGACAGTGGTTCCAGTTTTCGGTGCTGCAGCTCAACAACTTGAGCAACAAGGGAACTAAGAATGTCGCCTGGCTGTCCCCGTTGATGCACATGTTTGCCTCGGCTAGATATGAGAAAGCGGTTCCCACCTTGATTGGGTACAACCCTGACGTGTTAAGGTATTTGTTTGCTTTTCACAGAAACAGTTTGATCACCAAATAGAAATAATAGAGGTACTGCTTAAAAATAAAAAATTGTCGATAATTAAATTTTGACAAGATTTTTCTATTCGTACAATTTTTATTCTCTTATTCTAGGTTATTATTATTATTTTTTTTTTTTAAATAACAAAATGCAGAAAATTTAATTGGAAAACATCAGGTTTTTTTAACATTTGGCTATACCGAAGCGCGTTTGATGCGCTTGAATTTCTGCGGGGTGAGTGACGGTGGGTGAGGGTTGCGTTTGCGCCTGTCGTCGAGGAGGGGTCGGCACACCGTGGGCAGACAAAGGGTGGTGCTCTTCCTGCCCAGGCAGGTGCACGAGCAGACGGACACCTGGTCGGTGTCGTCCGTGGCCACCGACGAGCTGAGGTAGTGGCCCGACAGGATTTTGCCATTCAGGGACATGACGTCACCTTCAAAGGTCACCACGTGATGGGACGCTGACTGCATCTCGTCATCTTCACGGCGGTTGTCTTCGGCTTGCCTATGTGATTTGAATTTATATTAAAATTTTAAACAAAAGACTTAAATAATTACATTGTCATGAACCGCAGAACGAGCAAGTTGATGCTGGCGGCCACCACGGCCAAGCCGAACAGGATAAAAACCAAACTCAGGGCGACGTAACCTGGCTTGTTGCTCAGGGCGTGGTCGTTCTTTGAAAATAAATATTAAATTATTAATTTTTTTTTAATATTTATAATTTAATTATTGTATTATGAATTAGTTTTTTTTTTAATTCCAAAATTTTGACAATACCTGGAGAGCAACGTAGTCACCAAATCCTATCGTAGTCAGGGTGACAAAGCAGTAATAAAAGCTGTCAAAGTAGCTCCAGCCTTCGTACCGGGAAAAGACGGCGGCGCCTGTTGTTATAATTATGGACGAGAGCAGTCCAGTCGCCAACATCAAATTCATTTCGGTCGCCTCAGTTTTCGAGAAACGCAACCACTCTTTCCCCCGCCGAATCACAACCTATCATAATCATTAATGTTAATTTTCTAATTTTGAAACTTAAATTTTCCAACCGAAGCAACTTTGTTGAGACGTTCACCGATGCTCTGGAACATCACAAGTCCGAGCGGAATTCCAACCATTGCGTACGCCATGCAGAACGCCTTTCCACCGTAGGTCACGGGGGTCGAGTGCCCATAGCCTTTCAATTGCAGATTAATTATTATTATTTATTATTATTTTTATTATTTTTACCAATCATCGCCAAGACGACGGTTGCAAAATAAAAAGCACCAGCGAACTTCCACTGGGGTCCTGCTTTGTGCGGCTTGTTTTCGATTATCACAATCTCGATCACTTTGTAGTCCTCTTGCGAAATGTTGTATTTCTGCAGCAGATTTTCTCTCACTTCTGCAACGGTCCGGGAAAATTATAATTTAAACGAAATATTCAAAGATTGATTAAAACAAAAATCGAACCTGTGAGAAACTCGAATCTCTTTTTCTCCGTGTCGGACTCGAGTGCGTCAAAGACGGCTGCCCCGATCAGCAAGTAGGTGAAGGTGCAAACCACCAGGGAAAGCGTTCGCACGTTCTGCTTCTTCATGATTTCTTTCTAATTTTGTCGAGTTTCAAGAACTTAGTTCAAATTTGGAAATCTCCGTGTATTTCGGCAAAGAACGCGGCGCCGCCAGTCCATGGTCGACCGTTTGTTTTGGCGAAGGATGAAAATGGCGATTGCTGGTGTATATCTCACCCCTGCTGCAAATAGGGATGTGTACCAGGGGTGCTAGCTACTGAACAACCCTCTCCGTAGAGTCTGCGCGCGGGCGGGGATGTGATGCCGTCGCGCGCCGAGAGCTGCTCGATATTATAAGCATCTCCCTTTTGCGCCGCTCTATTTACGCAATTCCTCTGATATTAATATAAGATCAATTTGTGAAGTTCAATGAAGAAAGTTAATGAAATTTTTGTTATCATAATTCCAATCTAAAAATTCCATAAATAATGTGAAAATAATTTAACTATTCATTTAAAAACGTTTTAAATTAATGAAATTTAATTAAATATTTTAATTCCAAAATTGTAATGAAATAATTATAATTACACTAAATTATTGAAAATATTCTGATAAAATAGGTTTCCAAATTCCAGATTAAGAAAATTAAATATCAACCCAATCCGAACTTATGCAACCCGCACAATTTGGAAGCGGTGCAGGTTGCCTAACTTCTAAAAAATTGGTTAAAAATTGCAAAATTATAACAAACGATTCATGATAAAATAAAAATATCTGACGTAATTTAAAAGTTTTCATAAATTATTTGTATTTTTTCTTTAATTTTGGATATTATTATTTTAAATTTTATTGTTTTAAAATTCAAGATTTTTTTATAAACACTATTATGCATTATCCTTAAATGATGAGTTTCTGATCCCGTTTTGCTTAAGAACAAGTAGAAAATTTCCAGCCTACAAAGTGCATTAAGATTTTCAGATAGAGGGAGCTCACTTAAAAATTTAATTATTTAATAATTTTTTCTCGACTTGGCACTAATTGTATGAAAAAATTATTTATCTGTTTTGAAAAAAAATTGCAGTCCATTAAAAAAAAAGTACTAAAATTTAGATACAATATTAAAATTGAGCACGAATCTTAAGGTCACCGTTGTCAATATCAGCTGGCACCACTGACGTCACACGGAGTCGAGTATTTTTCCGGAGTTAACAAAAATAACCTTAAACAAGGAACAATTCAATAGGATCGAATTAATTTGTAGCATTTACAAAAATCTGAAAATTTGGTCTACATTTAAAAAAAATTAAATGTCGAATAAAAAATATTAGCCCTTTTTCGCATCGAGTAAAATCGATCGAGGCAGCGCTCTCGCGTGTACGCAGTCGCCAGCTGCGAGCCGACGACGAGGTGATAAAATTATGCCGTAGTCACGCCGCCTTGTTGTTATTTAGTCGCGGATTGACGGTCGACCGCCGTCACGGTTCGTCGGCCTTATCGGCCGCTCGCTAATCAGATGTGATAACGGGGCCACCGCGCGCGCGAGTCGGTGTCGACCTAAACGCCTCTTTCACTTTTCTTTCTCACTTCTGAACGAGGCCCCTGAGAGGAAAAATGTCAGACGTGCGTGACCTCGCAGCCCTCAGTGAGTTTAATTTTTTTTCCGCCTCATTCGACGGGAATTCATTCATTCTCGGACAAGTTAAATCTGGTGTCTTTGATAATTTCGTGGTCGCCTTCCGCATTCTGCGTGACCCACTTTTCAATCAGCAGCGCCTTATCGAATTGGGCGAGATTAAAATTAATTTTGTGTTGGTAAATTTAAATATTGTGAGAGGGTCCAAGTGACGAAAATAGATTGAATTAGTAACGAATTAAGAATTATTAATAACGGTGTTTTTTGGTTGAAGGTTAATAATTCGTATCAAATTTTAATTTATTTAATTTTCCATATAAATAGATTTCCACGTCAATATATTAATGACTTTTTAATTGTTCTCGTTTGAATTTCCTTGTGATTTTTTCCCTGTGCATAATAAACAAGATACAGTTATTAGAAGTCAAGAGGGTCGTGTGGTAGAAAAAACACAACACTCAATAGAGAAGTTTAAAAACAAGATAATGAAGCTGCCCTGTTTAGTAATTATAAATTATACTCAAAGTTTTAAATTATTTTTAACCCTGCTTTTGCATCGAAAGAATTTTTTTCACTTCGTATATCATATTTTTCTGCACTGCTTCTGATTATTTTCTTTGTTAATCCGCAAATTTCAATTATTTCAACAGGCAGTAACCAGCAAGAGTTGGTGCGGCAGAGCGTGAGTGTCCGCGAGAACGCGTACTGCCCTTACAGCCACTTCAAAGTGGGCGCCGCCCTTGTGTGCGACGACGGCACCACCTTCACCGGCGTCAACGTCGAAAACTCGTCCTTCGGCGCCACCATTTGCGCTGAGCGCTCAGCTCTGGTCGCAGCTGTAACTGCAGGTTGTAAACATAACTTTGCTTTCCATTACTTTTGTCTCCAATTTTTTATTTTTAGAAAGAAATTGAATTATTTATTGCAATCAAAATTTATTCTAACTGTTTTGAATCAGTTTGAATATAATATTAAAAAAGGAACTATTTTAATTTTACGATCTCAACTTTTGTTCAAAAATTTGAAGTTATTGATCAAACAAAATTTTATTTTTCCATATAATTGTCAGTAAAATTGTTCAGCACCACCAATAAGAGTAGTTATTTTTTTATAATTAAAGGAAATTTTATTTTTAGGTCATCGCAAGTTCAAACGGATTTGCATAAGTGCGGAGGCGACAGGGCCGGGTTTCATCTCGCCGTGTGGCATCTGCCGCCAGTTCATGAGCGAGTTCGGCGACTTTGACGTGCTGCTGGTGCGCCCCTCGGACAAGCGGGTGCTGTTCACCTCGGTGCACCGCCTGCTCCCCATCAACCTCGACCCGCTGCAAGAGTTTCTCACCACCGGCAGTTAGAATTAATTAACTTATATCTGACTCGAGCACAAAACGCTAATTTGTCTGTCGATTTTGTTTTGACTGAATTTGATTAACACTTTTTTAGAGGCTATGAATGATTATTCTCGTCACGAGACTGATCGTATTAAGTTTTTGACTTGTAGCAGTTTTAGCTGATATGTCATGTTGATTATTTGGTAGAGTGACTAACTGACTATTATTTTACTCAGTTAGACAAAGGTTTTTTTAGTGTGTTTTTTAGTAAATCGAATTTGGACCAATAAAAAAATTGAATTTTAAGGATCTTCAGATATTTCTGTAGTTATTTATAATTTTTATATTTTATTTATTAATCTCATAGATAATAATCAGGGTTGGCCCTGACCCTGTCAAGGTCAAGACCGACATCCAGATGCGCCCGGACGGAAGCCCTCGGTGGTGGTGGAGGTCCGAGGCCCCTCCGCTTTTTGAAAAGCGCCACGGCCCTTTCCAGGGGCTCCACCGGTCTCCCGTCAAGTTTGCACTTTTCAAGCGCCTTCTGTGCGTGTTCGAGCACCTCCCTGTCCTCTTGCTGGAAGCGTTTGCTTCTCTCCTCTTCCTCGATCGTGTCCACGGCGGCTTCGAACGCTCGGTTCGCCTTTTCCTCGGCCTGATTATTATTTTTTGTATTTAATTTAAATTTTAAATTTAATCAAGAAAAAAATGTTCGCACCAATTGCTGATCGTAAGCGATTTTGTTGGCGGCCTGTTGGCGCCTCCGCTCCTCCTGTCGCAGCCGCTTCCACTCTGCGGTGATGCGTTGCTGCAATCGCCAGTCGAACGCATTTTCCAACTGGAAGGCCACTTTCTGCCGCCTCCGCTGCTGCTCAGCCGCCTCCAGTTGGTGGTCTCGGTACTCGACGGCGCGCCGCCTTCTCTCTGACCATCGACTTTCCACGTCGGCAAGTAGCCGCGTTTCTCTTTTTCAGTGAATTTTTTTTACTCCCACATTTGAAATTTTTTTAATCAACCAACCTCTGCTTTCTGTCGTCTGCAATTTTCGAGTTCCACTCTTCGAATTTCGCCTCTCTGCTTGCTTGTGCGGCAAAAACTTTTTCTCTGACGCGTTCACTTTTGTCAGCAAGAATACCCTGATGTTGGATAAGATGAAATTAATTATTAATTTTTATGAATAATTTATATTTTTAAACCTCTTTGTGAATTTTTTCCAATTTTTCCTGCGTCTCCCTTTTAAAGTCATCGTACGCTAGACATATTAACCTCTCCTTCTCCTCCCTTTCGCGAAGCTCCTGCCTCCTTTTCCTTTCCTCCGCGATCGAACCTAACCCTTCTTCCAGGAGCCGACATCTTTTCTCACCCTTTTTCTCCTTCTCTTGCTCTTGTTCCTCCTTTTGTTTCTTCAGGTCCTCCTGCATCTCCCGATTCAACTCTTCCCTCTCTCTCCCGTCCAACTTTCTTTTCTCGTCGATCTCCTTTATCCTTTTTTACAAAATAAATTAATTAATTTTTTTTGACACTTCCTAAATAATAATTAATCTCTCATCTCAATTATTCTTCAAATTGGAAATCAAAAGATTCAAGAAATAAATAACTCCTCAAAATTAAAGCGGATCATTCACATTGCCAAAGCATTAATTGAATTTTGAGGATTAATTCTCAAAATTTTATGTGGCCCATCGTGAATCTCCAATGTATATTTTATTTACTTATTAAATTTATTGTTAGGAGTGCTAATTTCTTGATCCCGATTCGCCGTCATTTATAAATTTTGCTTTCAAATTAAGGAATAAAAATTTTTGATTTTAAAATGAATTCCTACTGTTTTTGCAAGTCACTGCAAAGCTCCTGCTTGCGTCGCTGCGTTTCGCGCTGCCTCTGGCGCTGCGCCTCCCTCTCCCGCCCGATCCGTTTGAGCACCTGCCTCCGGTGTTCTGCCTCCAACGCCTCCTCCGCCTCCTTGTGCCGTTGTCGCGCCTCCACGTGCGCTTGGCGCTGGTCCAGCGCGAGCGCCGCTTTCAACGCAGCGTCCAACTGCTTGACGGCGTCCCGCGATCGCAGCGCCAGCGTCACCTGTCGCGCCGCCTCCTCTCGAGCCTGCCTCCGGAGGCGGCACCTGGCTTCGGCCGCCTCCCGCGTCTCTCGCTTCTGAGCCTCCAGCCGCCCTCGGGCCGCCTCCGCCCGCGCTTCCGCTGCCAGTTTGGCCGTCGTGCCGGCCATGGCGGACATTGTGGCCGCGGTGGCCGCCTTCTCGGCCTCCGAATGCCGCCTCCGAGCATCAACAGCCTCCGCCTGTCGATTCAGCACGTCGGCGTTCGACTCGATGCGCTCCAAGATCTGTCGATTAATGATTAGCGGGGCAGGCGCGTGTGCGGAGCAGCAATTTAAAGCCTCCGGAGGTCGCATATTTCACTGTTTTCGTGTAAAATGACAGTAAAAATTAAAATTATGATATTCAACAGAAGTAAAAGACACAGACGACGCTATTGAAATGATAGTAAACAATTTAAGCAACGCAGAGTCACCATGGAAACTATATTTAGTAAGTAAAACTTTAATAAACTAAAAGAGGATTATACGTTTAATTTCTTCGAAAGAGGCTTAAAACAAGACCAGATATATTCAACGCGTCCCCTTTCTCAGGGAACAAGGAATATGGTAGAAATCAGAGGAAGCGAAAGGGTAATTAAATAATCAAACAGAAAAATCAAAGAGACAAATAGTAAATTAGAGAAATGAAGGATATTAAATTAGAATAAATTTATACCTTGAATTAAAAAGATTTTTCGTGTGAAATAAAGGTGACTGTTCAAAAAGAAAAGAAACTTTTATACAAGCATCTAAACGCATTTTAATTTTTTAAACTAAATTTAACCAATAAAAGGCAGGTGGTATTTTCCCACCACTCCATTTATTCAATAATCACTATATTAATTTTTTCACCCTTCCCCAAAATTGTAATCACAACGGTTCGTCAAACAACGGAGTCCACTCGAGGCTCATCACAAACGTAAAGTATAGGCGAGAGACATTATAATTTTCAAAATTCTCGATTCGCTATAGGAAAGTAAAAAAGTGTTAACATCACAGTTAGTAACAAAAGACGCTAGTCAAATGAATTTTCCAAAATTCAAGATGAAGCACACAAATTATAAAATATAGGTTACATCACAGAGGACATATTTAGACGTAACTCATTTTGAATTTTTCCCGAAAATACAATAAAATCCCTAAGGACACATCACAAACGTTAAGTATAGACGAGAGGCTTAATGCATTTTCAAAATTCTTGAATCGCATCAGGAGGGTTAGAACAGTTAACATCACAGTCCATAGTAGAAGACGCTAGTCCTATGAACTTTCAAAAATTAACGATTATGAAGCGAAGAATATTAATGTAGGTTACATTACAGACGACATATGTTGTCGTTAGTCATTTTGATTTTCAAAATACCCGATTATATTTTAAAATCCCTAAGGACACATCACAAACGTAAAGTATAGACGAGTGGCTTAATGCATTTTCAAAATTCTTGAATCGCATCAGGAGGGTTAGAACAGTTAACATCACAGTCCATAGCAAAAGACGCTAGTCCTATAAACTTACCAAAATTAACGATTATGAAGCGAAGAATATTAATGTAGGTTACATTACAGACGACATATGTTGTCGTTAGTCATTTTGATTTTCAAAATACCCGATTATATTTTAAAATCCCTAAGGACACATCACAAACGTAAAGTATAGACGAGTGGCTTAATGCATTTTCAAAATTCTTGAATCGCATCAGGAGGGTTAGAACAGTTAACATCACAGTCCATAGCAAAAGACGCTAGTCCTATAAACTTACCAAAATTAACGATTATGAAGCGAAGAATATTAATGTAGGTTACATTACAGACGACATATGTTGTCGTTAGTCATTTTGATTTTCAAAATACCCGATTATATTTTAATATCCCTAAGGACACATCACAAACGTAAAGTATAAACGAGAGGCTTTATGCATTTTCAAAATTCTCGAATCGCATCAGGAGGGTTAGAACAGTTAACATCACAGTCCATAGCAGAAGACGCTAGTCCTATAAACTTTCCAAAGTTAACGATTATGAAGCGAAGAATAATAATGTAGGTTACATTACAGACGACATATGTTGACGTTAGTCATTTTTATTTTCAAAATACCCGATTATATTTTAAAATCCCTAAGGACACATCACAAACGTTAAGTATAGACGAGAGGCTTAATGCATTTTCAAAATTCTTGAATCGCATTAGGAGGGTTAGAACAGTTAACATCACAGTCCATAGCAGAAGACGCTAGTCCTATAAACTTTCCAAAGTTAACGAATATGAAGCGAAGAATATTAATGTAGGTTACATTACAGACTACATATGTTGACGTTAGTCATATTTGATTTTTAAAATCCCTAAGGACACATCACAATCGTAAAGTATAGACGAGAGGCTAAATGCATTTTCAAAATTCTCGAATCGCATCAGGAGGTATAGAACAGTTAACATCGCAGTCCATAGCAGAAGACGCTAGTCCTATAAACTTTCCAAAGTTAACGAATATGAAGCGAAGAATATTAATGTTGTTACATTACAGACTACATATGTTGACGTTAGTCATATTTGATTTTTAAAAACCCTAAGGAAACATCACAATCGTAAAGTATAGACGAGAGGCTCAATGCATTTTCAAAATTCTCGAATCGCATCAGGAGGTATAGAACAGTTAACATCACAGTCCATAGCAGAAGACGCTAGTCCTATAAACTTTCCAAATTTAACTATTATGAAGCGAAGAATATTAATGTAGGTTACATTACAGACGACATATGTTGACGTTAGTCATTTTTTATTTTCAAAACACCCGATTATAATATAAAAACCCTAAGGACACATCACAAACGTAAAGTATAGACGAGAGGCTGTATGCATTTTCAAAATTCTCGAATCGCATCAGGAGGGTTAGAACAGTTAACATCACAGTCCATAGCAGAAGACGCTAGTCCTATAAACTTTCCAAAGTTAACGATTATGAAGTGAAGAATATTAATGTAGGTTACATTACAGACGACATATGTTGACGTTAGTCATTTTTTATTTCAAAACACCCGATTATAATTTAAAAATCCTAAGGAAACATCACAAACGTAAAGTATAGACGAGAGGCTTTATGCATTTTCAAAATTCTCGAATCGCATCAGGAGGGTTAGAACAGTTAACATCGCAGTCCATAGCAGAAGACGCTAGTCCTATAAACTTTCCAAATTTAACTATTATGAAGCGAAGAATATTAATGTAGGTTACATTACAGACGACATATGTTGACGTTAGTCATTTTTTATTTTCAAAACACCCGATTATAATATAAAAACCCTAAGGACACATCACAAACGTAAAGTATAGACGAGAGGCTGTATGCATTTTCAAAATTCTCGAATCGCATCAGGAGGGTTAGAACAGTTAACATCACAGTCCATAGCAGAAGACGCTAGTCCTATAAACTTTCCAAAGTTAACGATTATGAAGTGAAGAATATTAATGTAGGTTACATTACAGACGACATATGTTGACGTTAGTCATTTTTTATTTCAAAACACCCGATTATAATTTAAAAATCCTAAGGAAACATCACAAACGTAAAGTATAGACGAGAGGCTTTATGCATTTTCAAAATTCTCGAATCGCATCAGGAGGGTTAGAACAGTTAACATCGCAGTCCATAGCAGAAGACGCTAGTCCTATAAACTTTCCAAAGTTAACGATTATGAAGCGAAGAATATTAATGTAGGTTACATTACAGACGACATATGTTGACGTTAGTCATTTTGATTTTCAAAATAGCCGATTATATTTTAAAATCCCTTAGGACACATCACAAACGTTAAGTATAGACGAGTGGCTTAAAGCATTTTCAAAATTCTTGAATCGCATCTGGAGGGTTAGAACAGTTAACATCACAGTCCATAGCAGAAGACGCTAGTCCTATAAACTTTCCAAAGTTATCGAATATGAAGCGAAGAATATTAATGTAGGTTACATTACAGACTACATATGTTGACGTTAGTCATATTTGATTTTTAAAATCCCTAAGGACACATCACAATCGTAAAGTATAGACGAGAGGCTCAATGCATTTTCAAAATTCTCGAATCGCATCAGGAGGTATAGAACAGTTAACATCACAGTCCATAGCAGAAGACGCTAGTCCTATAAACTTTCCAAAGTTACGATTATGAAGCGAAGATTATTAATGTAGGTTACATTACAGACTACATAAGTTGACGTTAGTCATATTTGATTTTTAAAATCCCTAAGGACACATCACAATCGTAAAGTATAGACGAGAATCTCAATGCATTTTCAAAATTCTCGAATCGCATCAGGAGGTATAGAACAGTTAACATCACAGTCCATAGCAGAAGACGCTACTCCTATAAACTTTCCAAAGTTAACGATTATGAAGCGAAGAATATTAATGTAGGTTACATTACAGACGACATATGTTGACGTTAGTCATTTTGATTTTCAATATACCCGATTATATTTTAAAATCCCTTAGGACACATCACAAACTTAAAGTATAGACGAGAGGCTTAATGTATTTTCAAAATTCTCGAATCGCATCAGGAGGGTTAGAACAGTTAACATCACAGTCCATTGAAAAAGACGCTAGTCCTATGAACTTTCCAAAGTTAACGATTATTAAGCGAAGATTATAATGTAGGTTACATTACAGACGACTAATGTTGACGATGGTCATTTTTTATTTTCAAAATACCCGATTATATTTTAAAATCCCTAAGGACACATCACAAACGTAAAGTATAGACGAGAGGCTTTATGCATTTTCAAAATTCTCGAATCGCATCAGGAGGGTTAGAACAGTTAACATCACAGTCCATAGCAGAAGACGCTAGTCCTATAAACTTTCCAAAGTTAACGATTATGAAGCGAAGAATAATAATGTAGGATACATTACAGACGACATATGTTGACGTTAGTCATTTTTATTTTCAAAATACCCGATTATATTTTAAAATCCCTAAGGACACATCACAAACGTTAAGTATAGACGAGAGGCTTTATGCATTTTCAAAATTCTTGAATCGCATCAGGAGGTATAGAACAGCTAACATCACAGTCCATTTCAAAAGACGCTAGTCCTATGAACTTTCCAAAGTTACGATTATGAAGCGAAGAATATTAATGTAGGTTACATTAAAGACTACATATGTTGACGTTAGTCATATTTGATTTTTATAATCCCTAAGGACATATCACAATCGTAAAGTATAGACGAGAGGCTTAATGCATTTTCAAAATTCTCGAATCGCATCAGGAGGTATAGAACAGTTAACATCACAGTCCATAGCAGAAGACGCTAGTCCTA